CTATTCTTAGATAGATAGAGGTATAGAGAGAGCTAACTAAGAAGTTTAACTTGAGGGTAAGAATAATAATTAACTTTTTATAAATAAACTAGCTCTAATATCTTATAGCTTACTAGCTTACTCTAAATAATAGAGACTTTACTATTACTAGAATAAGTCTAAACCTCTTACTAAATAGCTATACTCTATTACTTATTTAGAAGCTAGATAACTCTTTATCTTTAACTATAACTCTAAAAGGTAGAGTAATCTAGTTTATAGAATATCTATAAAATAGAATAGTAATAGCGTAAGCTACTATTACCTTTATATAATAATAGCAGTAAGAAGCTATAAACTACTTATAAAGGCTAGTAGAATAATTTTAAGTTAGAGATAAAGTATAATTTTTAATGTATAATATAAAAATAGTATAGAAAAGCAAGAAACTAAACTAGCTATAAACTAAATATATAGTAATAGCAGTTCTTATACCTTTAACTATTATACTAGATTTACTAGGTAGACTATATAAAACTATTTATATAGATTTAGTAGAATAAGTAAGAAATAATTCTTTATCTAGCTAAGTTCTTAAAGATACTAGACTAGAGCTAGCCTTAGAGTTAGAAGAAGAGAATAAAATACTATAGAAATAGAAAGTAAAGAAAATTTTATAGAAAAAGAATATAAAAAGATAAAATAAAAAGCAGATCTTAGTAAAGTAGAAAGGCTAGCTTAAACTAATATAGTATCTAAAGAAAGACTTCTTAGATATAGAAGCTTTATAAAAATTTACTACTATAATATTACTAAAATTATAATAAAGTAAATAGATATTTTAAGCCTAAAGGTAAGTATTATTTAGTTAAGCTCTAAAGAATAACTAGCTTAGAGCTAGCTAGAGTATATAAAGTATCTAAAGTTTAAGATATCTACTTTAAGTTCTTCTTATTAAATATCTTCTTAGAAGTAAGATAGATCTTCTTTAAATCTAGAATAGAATAACTAAGGCTATGCTTAATATTAGTAATAGAATAAAAGCTTCTAACTAACTAGCAAATAAGTTAGTATCTATTTTTAAACTAGTAATAGATAAAGAAAACTTACTTAGTAAGTCTTATATAGCTCTTTAATAATATACTTCTAGCTAATAGCAAAGTAGATATTAGTCTTACTAAGAAATTAGAGAATTAGTATTAGAGTAGTAGCATTACTTTTATACTTAAAGAGAGTACTAAAACTAATAAGAGTAGTAAATAAAGCTAAACTGCTACTAGTAGATACTATAGTAATAGTAGTTAGAGCTTAAGTATAAGAATCTCTTAATAGTTATAGTAAGCAGCATAGAACTATAAATAATTAGTAATATTACTAAAATAGCTATAGACTAGTGCTAACTTATCTCTACTAAGTACTAAAGCTATATCTTATTCTTACTACGTATAAAGATCTCTAAGTTCTCTATATTAGTAACTTACTTATACTTCTTAAGAGTAGTATATAGAGCTAAGTTACTAATAAGAAGCTCTAACTTAGTCTTATAGTAAGTAGCATAGCTATAGTAAATAGTCTAAAGATAGTTAATCTAGCTCTAGCTTATATAAATATTAATATAAAAGTAGTAGTTATATTAGACTTAGGTTAGTATTAAGGCTTTATTAGAAGAATTGCTTTAGATAAGTATACTGCTAGTAAGATAAAGTAGCTTCTTCTTCTTATACTTAGAAGTAATAAGCTAAATAGTATTAGCTAAGCTTTAAGTAAGAATTAAATTAAGAATATATAAATATAAAGTATAAATTATTACTAGCTATACTACTAGTAATCTTAATAAAAAAAAGAAAGCTTATAGAAGAAAAGAAGCTAGTCTAAATATAGATAAGCGCTAAGTTAGAATATAGTAGAGTAGTAAGAGAGAATAAAAGAAACGTATAAAATAGCGCTAAATAAAACTTTATAAGTTAGTAGCTTAAGCGTACTAAGCGCGCATAGCTTATAATAATAATAATAATACTAGCTCTATCTTAGAGTATAATAAGCTTAGTAAGAGAATAATAAAATGCTAATAGATATATATATTATATAATAGTAGGCTTAAGAGAGAAGTAGAAAGATATATTAAGGTATAAGCTATGCCTATACTTAAGAACCTTTCTAATAGTACCTTAAGCCTAATTAGTTAGTAAGTAAGATATATATAGGCAGTATATAGATAACTTCTTAATAAGAAATATAACTTTATTTAGCACTATATAATTCTATTCTTATAGGCTAGCCTATAACATAGAATAATATAAGATATATAAGATAATACTAGTATATAGATAAGATGCAGAACTCCTTATAGTTTAGTATCTTTAACTTTATACTTTAAGTTACTTAATATATTATACTCTTTATAAAAGCTTACTCTTATTATCTTAGTATACTTTACTTCTATATCTAGTGCTACTTTACTCTATCTGCAAAAACTAACTTAAGCTCTTTAATACTAGCTATCTAATTATTAGCTACTTAATAGTTTTTAAGAGTTAGATAGCTTACTTATAAACTACGTTAGTTAAGTTTATTATATAATAGAGTTAAAGTTAAAGTTAAGTATTATATAAGCAAAAATTTAATAATTTTTTATATTATCTAAAGCATCTATATTACTAAATTAAGTAATTTAGAAGATTTAATTTTTGCTTATATAATACTTAACTCTAACTTATATAGTCTTAGCGTTAACTTAACTTTAGTTAACCTATACTTAACTATACTCTAACTTATACCTATATATAAGTTATCTATACCTATTTGCTAGCCTGGTGCTGCTTGATCGATTTGCTTGTTAACAAGTCTGCCGATTTGTGACCGGTTCCTTGTGATTGGCATGGCATGTTTAGATGAGGGGATTTGAGTCATCCTGCTTCTACGAGACATGCTAAATGACGTTCCCAAGGGGACGCTGCTGTCTAGCGTCTGCGCGATGGGGTGGTAGTAAGGTCGCCCGTTGTATGCAACTCTTGCTTTGGCCTTCTCCTTCCTATTTGGACACTGGTAGATCCACGCTTCGTGGTCGCCTCGGCACGTCGCGCTTTTTCTGGTTACAGTCTGGTCCAGTTTCAATGAGCAGAGCCGGCTCTCGTGTTCTTGTGCACGGTAGCCACATGCGATTGTTGCCTTGCACTTGATTCTAATGTGGCCGTAGAATTGGCACTTGCAGCACTGCTTCAATCGGCACTGTCCTCTCGTATCGCTCACACTGGAAGACCTTGTCCTGATAGACCAGGCCCTCGTCTTTGATCTTGTTGGCATCCCCTGGCTTGTTGAACTCTATGATGACGCTAGAGGCAGCTTTGCTATGCGCGTTTCGGGTCAGCCATCATATTTACCCGATCTCTGCCTGCGGGATGAACGGCTTGTTGTCTAGTACTATCTGATCCCTTGTCTCTTTGAACCTGTTCATGTAATTAAGTTGGTACGTATGCTGTGTGCAAGAACTCCGTATGTGGTGATCCGTATCGCGGCCCTGTTGCCGATTCGGTGGAGCCAGTCGTCAATGAATTGCTTTAGTGCTTCTACCTTATGTACACCGGCTGTCTTGATGCTGAGGTCTCTACTCTTCAGTTGATTCGAAGATATAACTTTGCGATGTGTTATGTTCTCATTCCCGCTCTGTGTGATGGTGCGCTCAGCGTGGGCGTTGAGAATGCACATGCTCATCGCCAGCAGACTCTGCAATGTAGACAGATCTCTAATAGTTACAACGACTTCACGTTGCGTCTGTATTAACAAAATTCTAGAAACTTGTGTATTCGGTGTACTTGCTAGAGTTGCACCCCTCGCTGCTATAACACCGTAGCTGACTGCGCCACTTGTCTGTGGCGCTGAGTTTCTCATCTAAGACGCCGGAGCTAGGCTTTATTTTCACTGGTCAAGGTGCTCAGTACGCGCGAATGGGCTTGGAACTACTGAGCTATCCGGTTTTTAAGAGCAGTATGCACTGCTGTGACGCCTTCCTGAAGTTTGTTGGTTGCACGTGGTCTATTCACGGTTCGTCATCCCCAACTTCCGGCCAATGATCTGCAATTAACTCGGAGAATAGAGGAACTAGAGAAACCATACATTTTGACGAATGTACATGCCTTAGGTATATCCCAGCCCTTATGCACCGCCGTTCAGGTAGCCCTCGTCGATTTGCTCCGCTCTTGGGATACAACCCTGGTGTCAGTATGCGGACACTCGTCTGGCGAGATTGTCGCGGTATACAGTGCAGGGGCTCTGCAGCGCGAATCGGCCTGGAAAATCGCCTACTTCCGTGGGGTCATCGCCGAAAAGTTAGTGGCGAAGACTACTTGCAGCCCGACAACGATGATGTCCGTAGGCTTGAACGAGCAAGAGGTGCTCCTATACTTGACCGGCACGGACGTTTCTGTAGCATGCATCAACACCCCTAGCAATGTCACCCTTTCTGGAAAACAGGCACAATCGAACAGTTAAAGTACACTTTTGAAAAGAAAGAGATATTTGCGAAGACTTTGGCTGTCAAGATCGCATATCACTCGAAAGTTATGGCCGCAGGAGCTGCGGAATATCAAGACTTGATCGGCCATATCGAAACTCCGGCACATTCTGATCCGAACATGCATCATACTATCGCTTTCTATTCATCAGTTTCTGGCAAAAAGATTGATTCTCAAGCCTTACGCAAACCAGGGTACTGGATTCAGAACCTTGTATCCCCGGTTCAATTCAACCAGGCTGTTGTATCTTTGGGTTCAGGAAGCGAGAGGGGTAAGTAAAGTAATCGCTTCCTCGTTGAAATTGGTCGACAAGCTGCGTTGCGCCGACCCATCAAAGACAGTCTGGACACAGTACTCGAAAAGCAAAGGTGGAGGTATGTTTCTGTACTGAATAGGCCTAGCAATGGTGCTCGTTCAATTCTGGAAGCGGCCGGACAATTGTGGAGCTGTGGAGTTGGCGTGAATTTAGTTGCGGTAAACCAGGCTTCACTACGTTCAATCGAGCGTCCCAGGTGTTGGCTGACCTACCATCATACCCAATTTGTTGGGGCTGCGAGAAAAAGGCTAGAATCCCTACGAATCGAGCTGGAAGCATGTGATTAGGACCTCTGAGAACCCGTGGATAGCAGACCATGCCGTAAGTTCAATGAAATCCTCTATAAGTTCGGGAAATTAACTCCTTAAAAGTTGAACGGCTCTGCTCTCTACCCTGATGCTGGTATGCTTGTTATGGCTATAGAAGCAGCGCGACAGTTGGCGGGCCCAAACGAACATCGCATTACTGGGTACAGATTGAGGAACACCCGCTTCTTGCGAGCCATCACGGTGGACGAGTCAGAACGTGGCAGTGAAGCCAGGATCCAAATGCGACCGCGGAAGCAGGCCACCAATCTGGTATGATTGGCGCATTTACACCACTGCTGATGATGAGTGGATAGAGTGTGCGTACGGTAGTGTGACGGTGGAAATCGACTCAGATACGAACCCCGACCAGGTGGAGGCTTCCAGCGCTCGCCGTCTCCGATTCATGCAGGATTTGCGTCAGCAGTACGACCGAGATGTTGGCAAGTGCTCACTTGGGGTTTATCATACGCAGCTGTACCAGAAAATGGCCAAATTATCTGGCTTTGACTATGGCCCATATTTCCAGCAAGTTCGAAATATCTCATACGACCGATCTGGACATGCCTCAGCCACTTTGGCGCTCGGAGGGCATTCTGAGACCATGCCATATGCGCAGGAAGATCCATGCTTCATCTATCCTACTACTTTGGACGCCATCTATCATCTGCAGATAGCAGCTTTGTCTAAAGGCGGCTGGGAGACCATAACCACAATGATGTTTTCCCATCTCAAGGATCTATGGGTATCTCACAAGCTCCTCGCTGCTGGTGCAGATTCCCAACTTCGAGCGGCAACTCACGAGACGATGCCATCCTTCAGAGAAGCTGAATGCAAGACTATTGTGCTGTTAGCTGACTCCATGGAGCCAGTCCTCGTCGTTGAAGGGCAGCGTGGTACTGCAATCACAAGCTTTCCAGGATCAGCATTCACCGATGGAGATGATAGCGCGAGCAGGATGTCATACGGTATCCCGTACCAGCCAGACCTGTCTCTACTTACCATGGAGGAAACTGAAGACTATCTCATATTCACCTTCGACAATCCGAAATACCGCCCTCTACCCAAGGAGACCGTGGATCGCGGGGACGCAATATCACTTTTTTTTGTGGAAAACGTGCTCAAGCAGCTTGATGTTGACGTGCCGCAGCACTATGAAGACCATTTTCGAGAGATACGTGGCCATGGATGCGCCGTGTTGCCGCGAACAGACACAGGTGGGCACCAGAATCCCGCGGACTTGGTCATCTCGCCATTCAAGATTTCCTCGAAGAGGCTGAACACGAGCCTACTCAAAAGCTTGCGAAGAAGTTCGGGGAGAATCTATACCAAATCTTGAAAGGGGATGCGAATGCTTTGCCGATCATATTTGAGGGTGGATCGGCTGACGGTAAGCTCTATGTTATAGCATTGTTACAGCTACTAACTACCAACTGCAGCATTTTACTATTCCGAGATTTTCTCAGTGGGCTATCGTAAGGTTGGGGCACATATGAGCATCATGGCACATAAGAATCCCCAGCTGCGTGTGCTTGAGATTGGCGCCGGCACAGGCAGCTCCACTGCCCAGATCCTTCGGTATCTAGTGCTCCAAGAGGGAATGGTAAGGAATCTGTCCGTTAAGTTTCAGCACTTATGCCTTCGAATTTGATAGTTGACCTGACACCCCGACGCAGGTTTGCAGAATACATGTATACGGAAATTTCGCCCGGATTTTTTGAAAAGGCAAAAGAGCGTTTCAACAACATCGCCAGCCATATACGCTTCCAGAAGCTAGATCTCGAATTCGATCCATGCTCCCAGGGGTTTGCTGAAGCGAGTTACGATGTCATTGTGGCAGGAAATGTCCTTCACGCAACCACGGATCTGATTCAAACGCTGCAATACGTCAAGAAACTTCTGCGCCCTGGTGGCAAGTTGATAATGGGCGAGACTACGAATATTGATAACGTGCGCGACGGGTTGATCTTCGGCCTTCTACCTGGGTGGTGGCTGCGTGAAGAGCAGTGGTGGTCGACCAACGAGGAATACCAAGACCAGAGACCGCTACTCACAGAAGAACAATGGGCCAGAGTTCTTCCAGAGGCCGGCTTCTCTGGGCTTGATCTGATTTTCTGTGACCATGATCAGCAGCCACACCACCGTGTGTCCATTCTCGTCTCCTCTGCTACAGATGAGCCCGTTGAGAATTCATTGTTTCCGCAAGACCCCACCAAAATTCTCATCAACCCCCGATCTGGTACTCAGACAGCACCGTCATTAGATTGCTGGAGCTTCATGGTTCTCTCTTTAGTAAGATTGGAGAATCAGATTTCGAGATTGTGAAAAGAATCTGTCTAGGTTCTCGGCTTGTCCTCTGGCTCAATAGTGATGGGGCTGGAGACCCAGAGGCGGACATTGCTATCGGCTTCGGCAGGACAATTTGCTCCGAGGGGGGGATCAGAATTTCATCAACTTGAGCTTGGAGTGTTCAACACAGAGACTGCATCAATTTGCCGATGCTACTCTGCGCGTACTTCGAAACGCTTCTTCTTCCCTCGATCGTGTCCACGAATCCGAACATTCAGAGAAAGATGGAGTTATCCAGATCCCTCGCGTGGCTCCCATGGCATATCTCAATGATATTATTGTCGCAAGGTCCCGACAGCCGGACGAACAGACATACGTTGTCGGGGGTGACGGTCCCAAACCGTGCTTCAACCTTACCATCGAAACATCGGGACTTTTAGACACCTTGTATTATGCCGAACAGGCGAACTACCATGAAGAGTTAAAAGAAAATGAGGTGGAGATTGAGGTCAAAGCCACTAGTCTCAACTTCAAAGATGTGATGATCGCGCTTGGGCAGATCCCCGGAAAGGGCTTTGGCTTCGATGGCTCCGGCTTTATTTCTCGAACACCTCCGGGAAGCAACTTTTCTGTCGGAGATTGGGTCATGTACTGCACCTCTGCCGGTGGTGGATTCGGAACCTTTGTCCAGTGCTCATAGTTTCAAACTGAAAAGAGACCGGCAACCATGCTATTCGACGTTGCTGCGGCAATTCCCGCAGTGTATTACACTGCGATTTGCTCCCTGGACCACATAGCACATTTCAAACAAGGAGAGTCTATTCTCATCCATGCTGGTGCTGGAGGAGTTGGACAGGCAGCTATCCAGCTCACCAAGATCCGAGGGGCTAAGGTCTTTGTCACGGTTGGGAACGAAAGTAAACGACAACTTTTGAAAGAGACTTACAGACTTACCGATAGCCAAATCTTCTACAGTCGCAACAATACCTTTGCCGAGGACATTCGAAACGCCACCGATGGACGCGGAGTGGATGTCGTGCTCAACTCTCTTGCCGGAGAATTGCTCAAAGAGACTTGGGACTGCATTGCCCCCTTTGGGCGGTTCGTCGACATCGGTAAGGCAGACATTATTGCGAACAATGTGCTTCCAATGGGGCCATTTGATTGCAATGTGACTTTCTCAGCGGTTGATTTGGTCGTTGTCCACGAGCAAGCCAAACCTCTGATGAAGACTATAATGCAAGACGTACTTCGACTGTTCGAGAAGCATCCGCACCTTCACGAGCCGAAGCCTCTTCATATATTTGCACCATCCAGGATTGAAGAGGCGATGCGATACTTGCAGGGCGGCAAGAATACGGGTAAGGTAGTTGTTGACTTCACGCTGTCGAGCGGATGAGTTAAAGGTAGGCACGCTTAATACATGCTTAGCGTAAAGTGAATACTAATGATACCGTGGTTCCGCCCCGCATTGAAGAAATCGTACAGCTTCAGCAATCTGGCAACGTACATCATCAGCGGTGGGCTGGGTGGCTTGGGCCGTGAGATCGTACGCTGGATGGTTGGCCGTGGCGCCAGGAACTTCTTACTACTTACTTTTTCTTGGGACAGAGGGGAAGCCTAACGCCCTCAAGTTCATCAAGGAGATCGAAGACATGGGTGTAAAGGTAACGGCACCGGCTTGCGATATCACGAACATGAAGCTGTTGGAGAACACTTTGCAACAGGCGTCGAAGGAAATGCCGCCTATCAAAGTTTGTATACAAGCTGCCATGGCTCTTCGGGTAAGTTTCAGTGTATTCGGATTCCGGTTGGTGTCCATTATCTAACTAGCGATGCCGCAGGATGACATGCTGATGAATATGTCGGCGGACGGATTGCATGCCGCCATAGACCCGAAGACCATTGGGTCTTAGAACCTTCACGAGCTACTTCCGGCCGACATGGATTTCTTCATCCTTCTTTCTTCCTTCTGTGAAATTGACGGCAATCTCGGCCAGTGCAATTACTCCGCAGGTAATACTTTCGAGGATGCTCTTGCACGATACCTTGCGTCAAAGGGCCAAAAAGCCGTCTCAGTGGATCTAGCTCTCATTGCGGAAGCAGGTTGGGCGAACCAGAATTACAGGGTTGTGACAGAAAGCCTGCGTGCTGGTCACGGTGGCGTCAAGCAGGAGCAGCTGATGGCCATGCTCGATGCACTCTGTGAGCCAACATACGACTACCAACAATCCGCCCAAGTTGTCAATGTTATTGATAAGTTAGTCCCGAGGAGCTATATCGAATAACGCAGGATGATCGACTTGCGTGGATGACCAAACCACTCTTCAACAACCTTCTACGAATCGGCGAGGCGAGGCTGGATACACACGCAACTGTTGATAAGAACGAAGATGGATTTGTGGACTATCTCGCGCTTGTGAAAGCGGCAGCGACCTTGGAGGAAGCAGGAGAGGTTGTAGTGCAGGGCTTAGTACAGAAGCTCGCGAAGTCTCTCTCACTTCCACCGGAAAACCTCGATGTCGAGAAGCCAGCATTTGTCCTTGGCGTGGATTCTCTCATTGCCGTCGAGGTCAGGTATTGGTTCATGAAACGACTTCGTGTGAAAGTTGCCGTGTTCAACATCATGAAGAAACAGCCTTGTTGAGCTTTGTAGGCAGGTTGCAGCCCAGATCACGCAAGGGAGGGAATGATTCAACGCGTAAAGCAATGTATTTTTAGAGTAAGAATGAGAGTCTGCTAGTTATGTACGCCACATTTTGATTACAGGGTTTCCACCAGTGAATGGTCTGCCTCACCAACATTCCAACTATTACCAGACGAATACCTCAATGCCTCTACAACGCAACGCGCAAAAGACCGATCACGAAGGAAAACTATCTTTATAGCCTTGGTTACTTGCTTGCAGACGAAAACCGGCAGCAACCAGAGCAGATGTATCAGTGAGCGCTGCCCGGCTACGAGAAGGCATGGGGACCAGAGCACACATCAACACTCAACACAGTCAACAACTTGGGTCTCCTCTACGCTGACCTAGACAGGCTAGAGGACGCAGAGCAGACGTATTAGCGGGTACTAGACGGATACACGAAAGTGATTCGCCTACATGACCTCATGTTTAACGTCTCAGCATTGGACGAAGAGTGATGACGATGTTGCTGATATGGACATGGCGGAGATAGCTTGTCCCCTCGCCAGGACACTGACGTGTGTGGGGCACTACTCACTACTCGGACCCTCAACGCCAGCAACGACAGCCTTCACTCCGAAAACCCCACATCATCCTACCTCTGGAGGTGATGCAAGAGTACTCCAATAGCCAAGTCACCCGATAATCGTCTCGTGCTCTTGCAACGTTCACCGAGGAGACCGCCGGATTACAAATCGCGCAAGGTTGCCCGGCTTCCTTCTTTGCCTGCATAACCTCGCCGTAGACTCCACGACTTTCTTTACAGATTGAGGTCTTTGCGATCTCACCTCGCGTCACTCCACGAAGCTGTCCCTCGCCCAAACAGCCCCACCATCGCATTTCACGACCCGCCTCTAGAACTATCTCAAGATGGCAACCCAAGCCCACTGCGCATACTGCTTCGAGACGCTCGCCGCCAGCCTCGAAAAGCGCCCGCAACTCACGCTCCCCGAAGTCGAAGCCCTCTGGTCCAAATACACCGAAGACCCCACCACCACCGACCCCTTGCAATCCCCTCCCGCCACCGACTCCCTCTCCCCACCCGGCGCCAAACCAGCTGCCATATCCCGCCTGCTCGCGCCCTCGCCCTCATCCAGTCTCTCCTCCACCCCCAGCGGCACAAGCAGCGCAACCAGCCTCTCGACCGCCACCGACGACTCCCCGCTCTTCGTGACATGGAACACGGTGACCAAGAGCGGCGAGAAGCGTCTGCGCGGCTGCATCGGCACATTCGAAGCGCAGGAGCTGGGCGAGGGGTTGAAGAGTTATGCGTTGACATCGTGCGTCCCTTTTTTTCCTTTCCCCTTCACATTCCTAGACACTTATACTAATGCTGTGCAGTGCCTTTGACGACACCCGCTTTTCGCCCATCACCGCCTCCGAACTCCCTTCCCTCCAGTGCGCCGTCACGCTCCTGACGAACTTCGAACCCGCATCTACGCCCACCGACTGGGAGCTGGGTACGCACGGCATACGCATTAGTTTCGCGGACAAAGGGAGACGGTATGGCGCCACGTATTTGCCGGATGTGGCGGTTGAGCAGGGCTGGGATAAGGAGGAGACGCTGGTGAGTTTGATGCGCAAGGCGGGGTGGAGGGGGAGGGGGGACGATTGGAAGGCGCTGGAGCTTAAGGTTGTTAGGTACCAGGGGAGGAAGGTGGGGATGGAGTATGCGGAGTGGAGGGAGTGGAGGGGGTGGGTTGAGGAGGAGATGCATGATGAGGAGGAGGAGGATGAGGAATGAGGGCATTTTTTCATTTGGGCGATGGAGTATACAGGAGTTTCGGGTATTTGGGGCATGATATCCACGGTTTTGGTTTCTGTGATAGACAACGACTTTTGAAAAATCTATTTCCCTGATATTCATATTGCGAAATCAACATGCATGCACTGACATCCGCCTTCGTAATCCCATCTATCCCAACGCCGCGCTATGCACCCCAACCAACACTTGGACACATCTAAAACTTCTTCTTCGGCCTCATATCCACAATCTCCAACGGCGCGTTGACGAGCTCAACAACATGCCCCGGCTTAACCGCCTCGGTATAAATATTCTCCACATCATGCGGGTGGAAAATGCCGGGTTTCGAGCAGTTCAAGATGGCCTGCTTGCCCGGCGGATCGGTCAGGCGGAAGCAGCCCCAGCTAACATACATCATCAGCACATTTGTCAAGAGTGAGGGTCTCGGGTCCCAACATACCTAGGCGTCTTACTCGGCGCACAAACAATCGCCACGCTCTCGGGCATCATAACCTGATAGCCCACATGCGTATGCAAATCGCGACTACTCATAAAGCATGTCTGACTGGGGTGCGTGTGTATCCAGCCAATCACAAGCAATTCCTCTTTATCGCAGTAGTCGAAAAACTCCTCCTCGTTCAGCGTCTCGCACGTATCAGACGTCGAGGTTTGCTCAGGCACGACCAGCCGCGTGATGAACATAGCATTGGATTTCAAGATGCCGCAGAGCATGCCGCATGTTTCGAGGTTGAGGCGCGTATTGGAGGATGCGACGGCGAGGAATTGTTGGCGCAGTTGGGAGGGGAGGAATACGGGGCGCAGGGGGTCACCATTTTCGAGGTAGGCGGAGGGTTTGAAGGAGAAGGAGTCTAATTCCGTTGAGGGCGTGGGAGGGCGGTCGTCGAGGACCTTGCCAGGGACTGGTGGGAAAGAGGAGTGTGGTTCGGTGTATTTCCCGGGTATTGGGGGTGGACGTGGGTGCTCGAGTGTGTTGTCTCGTGGCTTGGGTGGGAGAGGTGGTGGTACTGAGGGCGTGCCTGTGGATCTGTAGATCTGTTCTTTCGGTGGGCGTGCTGGAGCACTATAACTATCTCGAGAGCCTGATTGTGACAAGTCCCCTTCGACAGATTTATTGGGCACTGTTGGGTAGTGGTAGGAGTACGTGTAGCGGGATGAAGGTTGTTGCTGCAACTGTCAGTATCTTATGCACGGATAGAGTCGATGTAGCTTACTTCAGAGTACGATGACTTCTGCCCATTCGCTCCATTCTGCTGTAGGCGTGCAACCTCCTGAAGCTGATTCATGAGGTCTCCGCGGCCATCATCGTGTGCGAGATCGTCCTGCCAGCTCTCCCACCTACCTCCTGTTCGTCGCTGTTGCTCCTCCTCTTCCGAAACGCCATGCTGCCGTACCGTTCTCCGCGCCGTATCTCTCCTTCTCACCTCCCTCTGCGCCAGTCTTGTCGCCAGGGAGTGATTCTCCGACGCATCCAGCGTAGGCCTAGAATCATACGACCTCCTCCTCCTCGACCCTCGATCCTGTAACGACAACCCATCCAACTCCTGCGGCAAGTTCGCCGCGCCACTGCCCTCAAGTGCTTTCAGCGCGTCTTGCTGCTTCCTCCTCCTCTCCTGGAACTCCTCATGCCTCTTCTTAATCCTCGGCGCAATCGTCTCCAGCTTCTTCAAGTCGCTATACACTGTCGTCGTCGCCGCATTGAGCGCCTTCTTATTCTGCGGCTGATTTCTGTCTGGGTGTGTCTGCAGGTGTTGGAGCACGAGGTCGGCGTGGCGGTATAGGAGGAGGTATGTCTGTGGGTCATTGCCTTCCGCTTCGTAGACTTGCGCCTGGGAGATGTGAGCTCAAGTCAAACACCAGAAGTAGAGAAGGCGCCGCACCTCTTTCTGCATGGTACTAGCTGTGCGCAGCCAGCTCGCCAGTGGAATCTGCGCATTGTATGTGTAGTTGCCCGCCTGTGCGACGACGTCTGCAATGCTCACGGGCGCGTTGATCGAGGCCATGGTGGAGTAAGTCGCGAATGCCGCGGGGTAGACAGCAAGTGGTGGTGATGTCTGCTAGATCGCGACGAGTCGTACCATCAGAGACCGTCTATCGGTGTGGATGCAGATGACGCGTCTTCATCTGGCCTCTGCGAAGCTCTTTCGAGGCTGCCTGGCCGGCGTCGAAGGCGCACGTCAGGGCACTGTGATGGATGTTTCGGCAGCGGGGCAAGCAGCAAGGTCGAACCTCGAACATCGGGCATCAACTTGATTGCGAGCAAGACGAGGGATATATCGCCGCGCCCAAGCAATTTGAACTCGAAGATGGAATCGCTGTGTGTGTCTGGGATGGACTTCCGACCCATGTCGGCATTACATCACTCATGCAGCATGCAGCAGTCGCGTTCTCACGTGGGCACATGTATCCATGGAGAAATAAGTGCTTGCCATACCGCATGCGTCTACCATCTACCCGACCATGTAAACGTGTTACCGAGACAGTCTATAGGCAAATCGCAATCATCTGTCCCCCGCGTCCTCAGACAGTTTCTCCCACTCCGAATCCGTGCTCAGATCGCCTGTCGACTCGCCCAAGCCCTTCCTCTTCTTCAGCGCATCATCCACCAGCGGCGCAAGTTTCGTCGTCGCGCCCGTCGTACTCGCAGCGGCGGGACCCCCCGCTCCCGCCGAAGCCTGGGGCGTTTCTTCCCTCCGGCTGCGCTCGCTGGGCCGGTCGACAAGGACGGTGCTCTGAGATTCCGGTCGCGCAGAGCGTGCTTGCGTGGGCCGCTGTTTCTGCACCTCGAGTTCATTATCCACCTCAGTGTCGTCTCCCGAGTCCATGCCCTCGCCCTCGTCGCCTGCATCCGTGCCCTTCTCGCCCTTGTCTTTGCCCCGGCGCGCCTCCCGTATGCGCTTCGCTTCCTCCTCTTTGGCCTGCGCGGCGCGGATCTCGGCTGCAAACCAGTTGATGGCCCACCAGAGGCCGCCGCAGAGGAAGGACAGGATGATGAAGTGTATGCTGTATGTCGCCAGCAGCATGGCAAACAAGAGAACTTGCAGCGCCGCGAAGGATGCGTTGGTCGCGACGAGGAGCGTGGGCGTGGGGCCCGGCGTGAAGATGGACTGCCACAGGTTCTCGAAAAAGGACGCCATGGTGATTGCTCGTTGTAGTTTGCCTCGTGAAGTGGATGTCTTCGTAGCTCGCTCAAGCTCCCTTGTAGCTGTGCTTCTCGTCTGGTAGAAATAGCCCCGCGATTGCTGCCTTGCAAACAAGACAGATATGCGGAACAAAGGTAGCGATGCTGCGATTTAGTGCGTGAGGTTATGTAACGTTGCGTAGGTGGCTGGAGGCCCTGTAGGCGCCAGTGAATACCAGACGGGCGTGCTGAAGGGAGCAACCCGAGCTCTATTTGACGTGTCGCGGGGCGTCGGCATAACGAAACAAGGCCCGCGCGACTGCCGCGAAGCGGGTCACGCGTGGGCTATCATGTATATTGTTCCGGCCGACTAAGCTTGAAAAAGAGACGCTCTAAGATGATGTAGCAAATGGTAGGTTTAATTGGATTGCTAATGGCGCTTTAGGAAGTCGTGACCAAGGAGTAGTCCATCCTTGTCTTTAAATGCTCTACAAACTCATCAGACCAAGGACGCTGCACCAATCCTCATACAAAAACATCGCTGAACACTTCATAAATAGCCTTACATGACACTACAGCTCGTATCCGGCTTGCTCGACCAACGGTACTCGTACTTCGAGCTCCTGTGCTTCCTCCTTCTACCAAGACCAAAATCCATATCATAAGTGAATCCATCATCGAAGTTGTCGTAGCCATCGCAGATCATCGGTCGATCATGCATCATAGGCGGCAGCGGAGGATATGGCCCAGTCAATCGATGATCGTAGCGATGGCCATTCATAGGAATCATAGCACCACCATGCATAGGAACCATAGCACCACCATTCATAGGCTCCATCATACCCGGTGTCATCGCCAGCGCACCACCCCAACCACCACCCATCATAGGCACATGCCCCCACTGTCCCGGAATCGCATGGTTGCCACCGACATGACTCCGTATGAGCTGGTTGCAGCCCCAGGGACCTTGAACCATTTCAATGGTTTCGCGGTCCGCAAAGCCTCGGTGGCAGGTTGGGCATGAGTAGGGTGGAGCGATCAAGGTCTGGTATGTCTGGCGGTAGGGGCAGTTGAGAAGGTCGGAGAGAAAACCGCAGGGCTGGCTCATGGAGATCCAGGAGTGGCCACATGTTGGGGAGTCGTATAGTGTGCAGCCACACATGTCGATAGCTGAGAAATTGAGTTGCGAGACCTGGGCTTCGGATTTTCAAGAGAGCTTTGGCACTCCCTTGATCTCACTGTCTTTCGTATGGACTAGCCGCGCGGTCGGAAAGAGTCCTGGAGCTTCGTATACGAGCTTCGAAGCTGTCGTGAATGTAGTTGAAGGAGATATTGCTGTGCAGTAGAGACAGTGACAGGTGAGCGCACAAGAAAAAGAGATGTGGTAGCTGAGTTGTATTGCAGACAGTGTCGAGGTACAATACAGCGCTGCGGGCATATATGTAGTACGTCCAACGGCCACCTGTGAAGCGTTCATGCTTGAATCTTCACGACATTGACTTCGTGTGAAGCTTTGAACGTTTGCGTGAAAGTGTTGGACAGGCGAATTCATGGTGTTGGTCACAATCCCATCACTGGTCTGGCTTCTTGTGACTGTCGAGAGAATTCACAATGCGGGCTTCCTCAGCATCGGCATCGTCCTGGCTTTGCTTTTGGATTGCTTGCATGAGCTCATATAGTTGACCGATTTGTTGATCTGCATATCATTAGTATGTGTGCAAACAGGGGTTTTATCCATCATACGCACCGCTCATTTTATCGATCTTCCCCTTGTCCATCTTTTGGCCTTTCCAGTTGTCACCCTGTAGCGTTTGGGCGTACAATTGCCATTCCGATAAGAACCCAATCTGTGGTGGTCAGTCACGTTCGTATGACGCTGTTGGAGCTTCTCGTGGCAACTCACAATCTGAACGGGATTGTCGATATCTTTGTGAGCTTTGAACTCAGCCTTGACGTACATGTCGCCGAGTACGCGCTCTTCGACACCCAATCTCTTTCTGTGCGTCCGAAGAATAGTCCTGTACAGTGGGATGGGTGGAAGCAATGCGGCAGGAGCCTGCCTAAACCCTTGCGATGCGCCTGCATCTGTCGCCGTAGCTAGAAGTCTCGAGAATACACGCATATTTGCAGCAAATCAGGATAATGATTCAAATGTGATGGAGGTTATGCAGTGATGCAATTCGAGGTCGCGAAAATGTCCATGTATGATGACCTAACCTCGGTGCTTTAGCTCGCTCTCCGTCCGCGCCCATTGGTTCCCTGCACAACAGCTCCGACAACCAATTCCCAAGCCATGTTGCCAACACCTTCAACCTCACATGTCTGCTTCGATCGCGTCTACGAACCAGCCGAAGACTCGTATCTGCTGCTAGACACGCTCTCGTCGCCGTCAGAAACCGCGTTCCTGCGCGATCGCTTCAATGGAGAATCGTTAGCCCCGCCATTAGTCCTCGAAGTGGGCGTCGGTTCAGGCGTTGTCCTGGCTTTCGTTGCGGCCAATGCGGAGAGCATCTTTGGTCGACATGATGTGCTGACGCTGGGGACTGATATCAACAGCTTTGCGTGTAAGGCTGCGGCGCAGACTGCTCGCAATGCGATAAAGGAACGCGATAATGGACGGTCGGTTTTCCTGGATGTGGTGAACGGCGACCTGGCGACTGCAATCCGGCCAAATTCAGTCGACGTCTTCATATTTAACCCGCCATATGTGCCTGCCGAACTGCCAGATTTCACACGCCATGACCAGCACAACGCGATTCCAGGGGGCAAGGATGCGACATCGTTTGAACAAGACTCGTATCTCCTAGAGTTGTCGTATGCTGGCGGAGAAGATGGTATGGTGGTGACGAACAGGATGCTGGAACAGGTACCGGAGATTCTGAGCAAGGGAAGAGGTGTGGCGTACGTGTTGCTATGTGCGCAGAACAAGCCAGAAGTGGTGAAGCAGGAGATAAGAGCTTGGGGCCAGCAGGCTGGGAGGCGGAGACAGTAGGTCAGAGCGGAAAGAAGGCTGGGTGGGAGAAGTTGGTGATCGTGAGGATTTGGAAGGGCGCGGGTTGAGGAGTCGGATGTGAAGAGGAAGTGGTGATGGCGACAAGAGAAAGACATGTTCAATCCCATCATGCCGCAACGTCGTACTCCGTCTCCAGATCCACGAGAGCTGCCTTGCCGCCCATCTTGTACAGCATCTTCTTTGCCACGGTGCCCATTTCGTTCACCAGGCGGATCGCAGTTGGTCGGCCACCCGGCGTAAAGCTTAGGCACCGCTTCATCCAGCTGTTCAGCTCATCGCTGTACTGGTGGACGAACCGCTCACCGCCGTGGGAGAGGAAAGGACCAAGGCCCTGCTGACGCTGCTGGCCAGGACTCAGATTGATGGGCGTGACTTGGCGCGGGACGTGAGCAGCGTACCAGCGGCCGGCACCTCCATAGTCCACAGCCTCGTCTGGGTCCTGACCATGCTCGTCAACATAGGCCTCTCCGAACTCGTACTTGTCCTCCGTCGGGTAGATCCCCGTTGCGAGGAAGTGGACGCAGGCGCCCAACGCCCAGATCTCCGCTGCCTTGGTGTTGACCTTGCCGATTTCTGGCGGCTGGTATTCGAAAGTGCCAACAATGGCGGAATCGCGAGCTTCCGACTTTCGATATACCGTAGCACAGCCAAAGTCATGCAGCTTGAAGGAAGGGTAAGTGCTGCTCGGGTTCTCCACAACAAGGAAGTTCATGGGCTTGATGTCGCGATGCAGGAGAATCTCGCACTCCTCAAGATTAGGTCCGATCTGGGCCTGCAAGAGTGCCAGAGCCTGTGCCATCTGGAAGAAAAACCTCCAGATGAAGCTCTCAGGAACTGGCTTGTAGTTTCTGTCGTTGAAGTCCTCCTTCCACTGCGCCAGGTCGCCAAGAGGGTAGTACTCGTAGAATGCGGTGCCATGATACTCGTCTGGATCGTCCCAGGTATAGTGAATCGGAGTCACTATTCTGTTGCATCCAGGTACCATGAGCATGATGCTGACCTCCCGAGGGAGATCATCATCTTCCGTCACAAGCAAAACCTTTGTTACGACCTTTTGCTTGCGGTTGGAAATCTTCTCCAGAATCGAGACGTCGTCGTTGCAGTGGACCTTCTCCTTCCACTCACGTGACTTCCAGACGAAGGTCGGGGCCGGGGCGGTCTTGGTGCGCTTGCTACGGCGGCCAGCGCCAGTAGCGGGAGTGGTGCCTTTGCGTTTTGCCATCGTTGTGAGTGGTAGGTGGTGGAATGTAGTGAATTGGTGTGGAATTGGAAGAGGGTTGAAGATTGTGTTGAAAGTGGTGGGAAAAGTTCGAAGTTAATGGAAAGATTGGCTCATTCACTCACGCTCGCGTGCTCGTATTGTTGCTGTTCAGCTGTCATTTCATGACAATAGGAACTGCGCTAGAATAATAGCATGCAAGGTGAAAGTGTATCCTAGGTGACTGTAATCGAAAGTGATCTTCACTTTCACTTGGACTCTATTGTCCGAGAACACTGAGTGACTGGAAGTGACAGTGCCATTTGAGTTAGCATCAAATAACATGGTAGCTTATGTATTCATGTTCTCGAGCTATGTGTGAATTGGTGGAATTACGCCTGTCGTTAAGAGCTGCCGGAATGCCTTCGAGGGGACGTAGAGCCGTGTTGGGACGTCGTAATCCCAGGAGAACCTCCGGGATACATCGTTACGGCGTGGAATTACATTTGAAGACATCTGTAAGATGCCATGGTGTGGTCATAAATATGCTGGACCGAATCAATGTCGAGTATAGATGAAGGTTGTCGGCACGTGACATGGACCGGAGAATTGTCGGTCCGTGCAGCCTGGCTGGTCGCAATTTCCTAGCTAGAGCTTCCCCACCGATTGACCTCACGCCCGGCAGCACAACACCAAGACGCCGCGCTCCCAGACTAAACCCGACATTTAAAACATTCCCGTCGCGTAAATCCACAATCCGCAGCCATGAAGCTCGTCAGGTGAGTTCCGCGACCGCCAATCGCATAATCAAAAGCTAACAGATGCTCGCAGATTCCTCATGAAGTGCCAGAATGAGACTGTTACAGTCGAACTCAAGAATGGTATGTTATACTTCGTTCATTTTGTCTGGTTATTGGGAGACTAGCCGTCCACACGCAGTGCGCGTTTCGCAAGATTCACTATCTTCACTTTGCGCAAGCATGCGGACAATCTTCTTCTCTGGTTTAGACCTACCTACTCAGGATGTACAACCTAACCGTGTCACAGGCTCCATTGTCAACGGCACCATCACTTCCGTTTCCCCTCTCATGAACGTCGCCCTCCGCACTGTCAAATACACACCCAAGTCTCGCGACACCGTTACCCTCGACTCAATGACTGTCCGAGGCTCGACTATCCGATACATTATTCTACCAGACTCATTACCCCTCGATACCCTGCTCATCGATGATGCGCCCAAACCCAAGAACAAGGCCAGGAAAGAGGCCGACCGAGGCGCTGCTACAGGAGGACGTGGAGGCGGCGGTCGCGGCGGAGGTCGAGGAGGCGGTGGACGTGGCGGAGGCCGAGGAGGCGGCGGACGTGGTGGTGGCCGAGGAAGGGGGCGCGGCTTCTAGGCGCAGGATAAGAGCTGCGATCTGCAGTACAGGCGAACATACCCACGCACGGAATTGGACAGAGAGGGCATGGTGCACGCAGGAGATCAGAGTGTCAAGGGTAGGGAATACCGTTCGCTTCAGATACCCGAGATTGATCAAGTGCATTAGGGATCACGTTTGGTTCGAGCATGGCATGCACAAGTCACGAGCATGCACGGCGTTTGGCAAAATTGGTTTCTGTGTATAGGCGGAGTCTATTCGAACGCGAAATGCAATATGATACCACGCCGAACAGCGTATTTGGAGATTTTATTCACATGGTCCTGTATACGTGATGACTGACATGTAGTCACAGGCAAGCCACGGCCAGCTATTGCTCAACTCATTCTCGAGCTCCCTCACGTTCGGTCTGGCATTCGTTTCCAAAGCTCTGTCGACCCATATCATATCTATCTCTTTCCAGCAGTCCCTCTCAGACATCCAAATTGCAGCAACGCTCAAACCGCCTGCCCATCCAAGACACGATAGAACTGGCCATAGTTGCCCACTCCATCCTTCCCTCCCTGATCGCCCCTCGCATTATCCATAATCGCAAACACAACCTCCTCCCACCACCCTCCCTGAAACTCACTCTCTCTAAACACCTCGAGAAAACAGTCTGCAACCTCCTTGGGCGGATTGCCAAACACACCACATCCCAGCGCGCCCATCACAAGCTTCGTATGCCCCCCAAGCACCGCAACACGCAGCGTCAGCCGAATCTTGCGCTTTGTCTCCGCGCGCTGCCCTTCGTTCTTGAAGCTCTTCTTGTCATCCGTGAGAGCTGGGTAGCGCAGCGCCGCGACACTAATGACGGATGTGACGGGCAGGTTGGGCGGGTTGTTCCGCGGGAGTGAGTAGGGAGTGGCCGCGCGACATGGCATCTCGGATGATGAGGACGGAAGGCGAGTAAATGGCGCTTAGTGAAGGGAGCGGGTAGTATGACTTGTGTAGGGAGAGGTAAAGGGATGAGCGGTAGCAGAGGGCTTCTTCTTGGGCGAGGGCGCCGTTTTGCCATCCGCCGCCTGCGGAGCGTTCAGAGGCGAGGTTGAGGACGGCTACGGGCTTTTGCTTGCGACTGGCTGACGATATGACGTTGCTTGAGGTGGCTGGTGTGGCGTCGCTGTCCTGTGAAGGTTCGAGCATGATATAGTCCTCGTCGTCCATCTTGCTGTCGAAGCCGCTAGGGTCCGGCACCGAGGAATCCAGGTGCGTTTTGGCATCGTAGCTTGGTGCGAGATCTATAGCGGCATCGAAGGTATCCATGTCGAATACCTTGATCCGTGTGCCCTTCTCTCCAGCTTTGACATCACTACCTGACAGGACAAAACCTGGGCAGTCCTTTGCGTCGAGCGTAGCAAGATCGTTGAGGCTAAATACCGAAGAATCCATGGCATCGAAGCTAGGAAGTTGACTTAGAACATTTGGCAGCTCGGCCTTTGTCTCGTCTGCAATCTTCTTGAGATCCATGTTGCGGCGGCGGTCAGGTGCGCGGTGGTTTCTACTTGAATTGCCTCTGAAGTTACCTCTGGAGTTAGGATTGCGAGACCGATAGGGGTGACCCGGTCGAGAGTTCTCTGGCCGTGAGTTTTCTGGTCGTGGAGGCTTTGGCTTTTGCAGGAAAGGACGAATTGAGCCTTGTTGCATAATGAAGGTGAGAGAAGGTGTGACACAAGAGTGGTTGATTTGAAACTCGGACTGAACTCTTAGTACTATGAATGACTTGCGAAATCACAGCAGTAAGAAAAGGACATGAAGGTGGTGTGAAAGATGGTTCGCAGTGAGACTCGAATTGCTCCGCTGCAAATTAGGCAACAGGGAGAAAAGGAAGCTACTACTTATGGTTGCAGTTTATCATCCTCTGGGCTTCACACGGTCAGATTCATATTCCTACTGTAGACATTCAATAGGCGAGACGCCGTCCTGAAGTGACAGCTAACGATCGGCGGACCGGACAGTAGTCCGCATGATGATGCGCAGTGAAGCAGGGGTGATTTCGAGGGTCCATCAATGATCAGCCCTAAATGTGGCCTGTGCAGTGCCCCCACCTTCGCTCGCGTAACATGGGAATCGCAATTGCGCGGGCTGTCAAACAACAACATCGCCCCGCCTTCACCACCTCGCCACTTTCTTCCTACTTGCAATAGCGCCCATGTAATCGAAGCACGCTCCATACGGCGAAATGCCTCCTACTCAACTCGCCTACCCGTCCCCGAAGCGCAAGCGCGAGCAGCCTCCGCCTATACCGCTGCTAAACACTGCTCTGGTTCCGGCATCAACACCACCGAGAGGTAGCCCTGCGCCTTCCTCTGGCGCCAACAGCCCTCGCAATGCAGTCGCAGACCAGCTGCGAGGTATGACACTTGTTGCGACTTCGGCAATACCCATGTCCCCGCTTACACCTACCGACGATGTGATACGCAAGAAGCCGAAGCTTGACGAGATGAGAGTGGACGGCGGAGCATGGCTAGACAAGGACGGCACAATAGGCACAATAGAAAAACAGAAGAAGAGAAACGAGTTGGATAAAACTGCCGCTCTGCACAAGCTGGATCCGGCCAGAGAGATACCTGAGACCCCTCAGTCGCAACCCCGCATATTGCCAGATATTGCTTCTTTTGCACAACCGACGGCATTTGTATCCTCACCTGGCCCAACATCAATGCAACAATCACCAAATATCACCCAGAAGCCACGGAATCAAAATCAATCTTCTTCGCATGCTCGCTCGTTGAACAGGTCTCCGTCGCCACCACCATCGGCGCTCACGTGGCACGAGGGTGAGATCACAGGTCACCTGGTCGACCCCTCAACTGATCCAGACGATGATGGCACCGGTCTGAATGGCATTGGATTTAGACCTACAGCGGCTATGGCCTACGCTCGATCGCAGAAAAGGCGACAGCAGCTGAACGAATGGAAAGCAAGAGAGACTCGCGAGGCAAGAGCCAAACGCCACGATCGCAGACGCCGAGGAGTTGGTGGGACCGCATCACGAGATACAACCGTGGAACGTGAAATGCCACCCAAACAAATTGACGTGAGTAAAAGAACGGTGAAGTTCGCAGTATAAGGGCATGGTGGAGGAAGTAATCTTAATGCTTTGGGTTTTGATCTCTGTACGATGATGATCTACGATGTCTTATGATGCGAGTTTGGGTTTCCGGATATTTGAGCGACTGGGCGTCGTCAGGAGTTCGGCGTACCTCTGAAAGTCGGCAACATGTTTGCGACTCGTTAAAGACACAAGATAGTGTGCTCTTTCATATATTACACTTTTGGTACAGATCGTTGTACATGTGTCCACTGCGTGCAAGCTCTCCGTGCTAAGAGACATGCTACCAGAACTTGAGGTTCTTTTCGTACCAGTATCCCCATGACTTTCTTCTCTCTTCTTCGAGTCTCCGCGCTTGTTCCTGTCGATCGTGCTCCTCTCTTGCCCGTCTCCTGGCTTCCTTCTTCGCTTCGATCGTCGCTCGCTTCTTCTCCATGAGTTCTTGCGCTTGCTTAATTCCAGCCTTTTCTTTACTCCGGTAGTACTGGCACACTTGGTATGAGACAACAGACACACCACACCATGTTGCTACAGCCCAGTTTGAAGATATTCGTACAGGTCCTAACAAGAGGTCAGTCCATTGATCTGACGCAAACTCTGTGATGCTCGTAGGCGCACATACTCCCTAGTATCGCTGCCAAACTGCCACCCGCAAATCCGGCTGCCAGTCCTTGCAATTGACTGTCTCGCACACACGGCCGCTTGTGGAAGTTCATATAGTATTCTGGACCGAGACTGCGTACTGCATCGATATAGCTCGGGCCCCCGCCATCTGTCTTTTCACCGCCCGCTGTGTGTGCTGTGCCGCCGGGCATGATGTTTGCAGGCGCGCGTGGGCGAGGCGCTACCTGCTCCTCCGACTGCCTTGTGTCGTCCGCCATTGTGATGTGTGTGGAGTGGAGCGGAGGGGACGGTGATGCTTCAAAGAGAGACAAGATCTCTTCGAGACGGGGTCAGACACTTTCGCGGTCGTGTCGAGCCTGTGTCAATTGGCGGCAGATTTAAGCGGTGTCGTCGTCGTTCCACTCATCCAGGCTTCGGTGGGTATGGAAAAAGGCCCGAAAAATATCCATGACACCAACGACGCATCTGCGGCGGACACGAGCCACAGCTTGTGGCGCAAACCAATTTACTCAACAGGGAAAGGCGCCGAACGCGATGCACGCGAAAGCGCGTCGCGTGCAAGATGTGCCATGCATCCCCCCATTTGCACCACTTTACACACACTCCTCTGCCAATTCTCGATTTTACAGCGCTTTTCGGTCACTCACTTGCCCCAATGATACCCTGACCTGCTCATAATAGATTTAATCTCTCCTTTACCTCCTCACACACAACATGCCGCCGCGACGAGCAGGTCAACCTTTTCGCCGGGTAGGTAAAGCCGGCAACACATCATATGGCCCACGGAAGCCAAAGACAGTCGACGCCTCGTCACTACGGAGTGGCGAGGGCACATCACAGCAAGATAAGCTCGAAGCTACGCGACTAGCCAACCGCATCGATGAGTCCATGGGATTTTCGCGTTTCGAGTCCGGGAAGAAGAAGGTGGGATGGCTCGTCAATATGCACTCGACCACAATAGAAGACGAGGATGTGCCCGGCGGCAAGGCAGGCGTCGACTACTACTTCATCGGCGAGGACGGCGACACATTCAAAGCCACGCTCGAATACGACCCATACTTCTTGTTGGCTGTCAAGAAAGGCAGGGAACAAGACGTGGAGGAGTACTGTCGAAGGGCATTTGAGGGTCTGATCAAGTCTATAAAGAAGGTGGAAAAGGAGGACCTTTCCATGCCAAACCATCTTACTGGCTACCGGAGGACATTCTTACAACTCACATTTGCAAATGTCAACGACCTGTTGGCTGTAAGAAAGGCCGTTGCACCAATAGTGGAGAAAAATAAGAAGAACGTTGATGCAATGGATACCTATGCTGAGGTAGCAACGTGAGTGTCCCTGGACTATGGCCTTTTTGGTGTGCTAACACCCTCAGTGGTAATGCCGGTATGGACTTCTTCGATAACGACGATTACGAATACGAGAAACGATTCATGACTACGATTGATGCGAGCGATTTCATTGTAGATATCAGGGAGTACGATGTTCCCTACCACGTCCGAGTAGCCATCGACATGGACGTTCGAATCGGAAACTGGTACACCGTCGATGCGAAGCATGGCGTGATATCGATCAAGTGTATAGAGGACCGCTTGACGCCTGCAGATCCGGTAGTCATGGCTTACGACATCGAAACCACAAAACTTCCATTGAAGTTTCCTGACGCAGTCATCGACCAGATCATGATGGTGTCGTATATGATCGATGGGCAGGGATTCTTGATCACCAACCGCGAGATTGTCTCCGAAGACATTTCAGATTTTGAGTACACACCAAAGCCGGAATACCATGGACCTTTCATGATCTTCAACGAGCCAGATGAAAAGGCCCTTATTGAGCGCTTCTTTGAGCACATCAAGGAAGCAAAACCTACCGTCATGGTCACATACAACGGAGACTTTTTCGATTGGCCTTTCGTAGAAGCAAGAGCTAGTGTACTGGGTATAGACATGTATCAAGAGATTGGCTTCAGGAAGAACAGTGAAGACATATACCAATCGGACTACTGTGCACATATGGACGCATTTGCCTGGGTCAGTCGAGACAGTTATCTGCCGCAAGGAAGTCGTGGTCTCAAAGCTGTCACTATGGCCAAGCTAGGATACGATCCAGACGAACTTGACCCCGAATTGATGACTCCATACGCCTCCGAACGGCCCCAAACGCTTGCCGAATACTCCGTTTCCGACGCCGTTGCCACGTACTATTTGTACATGAAATACGTTCATCCGTTCATTTTCGCTTTGTGCAAGATTCTTCCGCTAGGTCCGGACGACGCACTGCGAAAGGGTACTGGTACCCTGTGTGAGATGTTGTTGATGGTGCAAGCGTACCAGAAAGGCATTGCCTTGCCGAACAAACATCAAGCGCCAAAGGAGGCATTCTGGGAAGGCCATCTTTTAGAGTCGGAAACTTACGTCGGTGGTCACGTTGAAGCTTTAGAGGCTGGCGTATTTCGAAGCGACATCGCCTACAATTTCGCCGTCGACCCTACAGCCATTGATGAACTTATCAACGATCTTGACGCGGCACTGAAATTCAGCATTGAGGTTGAAGAGAAGAAGAAGATGGAAGACGTTACCAACTATGATGAGATTAAGGCCGAAATCGTCAACAATCTGATGCAATTGAAGAACACGCCCAACCGGAACGAGCGGCCACTGATCTACCATTTGGACGTCGCATCTATGTACCCCAATATTATGACAACAAATCGACTGCAGCCAGATTCCATGATCAAGGAGGCTGATTGCGCGGCCTGCGACTTCAACCGGCCAGGTAAAACCTGCGATCGTCGGATGCCTTGGGCGTGGAGAGGAGAGTACTTGCCAGCGAAGCGTGATGAGTACAACATGGTTCGCAATGCTTTAGAGAACGAGCGGTTCCCAGGAAAGTGGCCCAATTCGCCGATGCGATCATTCCAGGAGCTGTCACAAGACGAGCAGGCTACACTTGTCCGTAAGCGTCTCACGGACTACTCCAAGAAGATCTACCACAAGGTTCACGATGCGACGACAATCGAGCGCGAAGCTATCATTTGCCAGCGCGAGAATCCATTCTACGTTGACACAGTCAGTGGATTCCGTGACCGACGTTATGACTTCAAAGGCAAGCAAAAGGTCTGGAAGGGCAAGACTGACGCTCTCAAAGCTGCTGGAGCCCCAGCGCATGAGGTTGAGCACGCAAAGAAAATGATCGTTCTATTCGACTCTATGCAGCTGGCCCACAAGGTCATTCTCAACTCTTTCTACGGATACGTCATGCGAAAAGGTTCTCGCTGGTACTCCCTGGAGATGGCTGGTGTGACCTGTTTAACGGGTGCGCGCATCATTCAACTTGCGCGATCTCTTGTCGAGCGTATCGGGCGTCCTCTGGAACTGGATACAGATGGTATTTGGTGCATCTTACCAGCGACCTTCCCCGAGAACTTCTCTTTCAAAATGAGCAACGGCAAGAAGATGACGATCTCGTATCCCTGTACTATGTTGAACCATCTGGTACACGCACAGTACACCAACCATCAGTACGAGACATTGGTCGATCCAGTCAACTTTCGCTACGAGAAGCACAGCGACAACTCCATTTTCTTCGAAGTCGACGGACCATACAAAGCTATGATTCTACCGACATCGAAAGAGGAGGACAAGAACTTGAAGAAGCGTTACGCTGTCTTCAACCACGATGGCAGTTTGGCTGAGCTGAAAGGCTTCGAGGTGAAGCGTCGTGGTGAGCTTAAGCTCATCAAGAACTTCCAGGCTCAGATCTTCAAGTTCTTCCTGGAGGGAACGACTCTCGAAGAGACCTACGGGGCGGTCGCAAATGTCGCAAATCGCTGGCTGGACATTCTAGACACTCGCGGTGCATCGCTAGCAGACGAAGAGCTCATCGACCTCATTGTTGAGAACAAAAGCATGACAAAGACACTGGAGGAGTACGGAGCACAGAAGTCGACGGCCATCACGACGGCTAAACGTCTTGCAGAGTTTTTGGGTGAGCAGATGGTCAAGGACAAGGGCTTGAACTGCAAGTACATCATCTCAAAGACTCCCCGCAATGCACCTGTTACAGAGCGTGCCATTCCCATGTCGATTTTCTCGGCCGAAGAATCAGTGAAGCGATACTTCCTGAGGAAATGGATGAAGGAAGATCCAGGCGACATGGATCCGCGAACAGTTCTCGACTGGGACTACTACCGCGAACGTTTAGCCTCTGTCATTCAGAAGCTCATCACTATTCCCGCAGCCTACCAGAAAGTGCGAAATCCTGTCCCTAGGGTACCACATCCAGACTGGCTCGATCGCAGGATTCGACAAAAGGAGGACAAACTCCAGCAAAAGAAGATGACGGACATGTTCAGCAAGAAGCCACTAACGACTGGTGATGCGAACGTCGCCAACAACAAGCTCTCTGGCGATCTCGAAGACTTTGGCGCAGCGAAGGTGTCGCAGGCTCAATCACAGATGAAGAAGGGTATTGTGACGAAGATGGTCGCGAAGCGCAAAGAGCCTGAACCAGCGGTACCCGTCCAAACCGATCCCTACGCTGCGCTGCCGAAGGTCATGCCGTCCATCACCAACGACTACTCCGGCTGGCTTATGTATCAGAAGCAAAAGTGGAAGATCCAGGCACAAGCACGAAAGAGACGACGACAGCTGTTCGGCGAGAAGCCTGTCGACTCAAACGATGCTATTGGTACCTTTTTCAGGAACCAAGCCCAATCGCTATTCATCAGCACCTGGCAGCTTGTTCAATTGCGACCGACCGAGACACCTGGAGAGGTCAAAGCTTTCGTCCTGATCGACAAGAAGATCCACATACTCAAGGTCATTGTGCCTCGACAACTGTATCTCAACTTGAGAAGCGAAGATCTTCCAGATGTCTCGATCAGTGGGTGCTCAGTTGAGAAGGTTGTCAATCACACATTGCCAAACGGACATCCATCGATCCATCTGTTCAAGCTCGAGATGTCAGAGCAGACGTACGTTCACGAGGCTGCCAATATCTCGATTCTGTTCAACCATCCCAGTGTGGAGGGCGTCTATGAGAAGCAAGTACCTCTCAATGTTCGCGCCATCCTGGAACTTGGGAGCAGCTGTACCTTTGACGAATCGCAGAAAGGTGTACTCGGCAAAGGCTTAGAGCAAGGTTTCGACCTTTCGGCGCTGCGAAGAGTTCCCTCACAAAAGACATACCTCGCTGACGCATCAATGAGCTACCTATACGTCTACCACGTCAGCAGTGGTGACCGTCACATCTATGCCGTTTTCTCGACATCGAAGAATGATGCGCACATCATCATCCAGAACAAAACCAAGGACGCGCAAGGCATGCCAAACGTCGACCGCATCTACAGCGATGCTTTACGAAGACGCATGGAAGGCAACCAGGGAGAACCATGGCAAACAATGATCGACTACCAGGACAGCGTTCACTTCAAGACCACCATGGTTACCACGAGGCGCAAAGCTCTGCTCGAACTTGGTGACGTGGTCAAGAAGATGAAAGCGGATGAAACCAAGCCCATCATCGTGGTGATGCAGTCACCTAACCAGGCTCTGCTTTCACACGACATCCCCATCTTGAAGGACCTCCCTATACTCCCATTGCACCCAGACGAGACCGACAAGCAGCTTCCTCCTCTTGGCTGGCAGGCATTCATTGCGAAGCGCCTTGTCAGTCACTACCTCGATCTTGGATCGTGGGTGGCGCATCTTCTCGAGCTCTCTCGATATGGAGACATCCCGCTTTGCAACCTCGAAAGCAATGACCCGCGTTTCTTGATCGATGTTGCTTATGCGCGTCGGTTACAGAAGGAGCGAGTCATCCTCTGGTGGTCTGGTCAAGCAAAGCCTGATCACGCAGGCTACGAGAAGGATGATATACTCGGCCCTCTTGAGACGGTGGAAATGCCTTCGATCAACAATGCTGGCACGTACTCATCCGTCTGTATCGATATAAGCTTGCGCAACCTCGCCATTAACACGATTCTTTCATCGTCTCTGGTCAATGATCTCGAAGGCGCAGACTCAGTCTCATTTAACCCTTCGGCGCCCTCCTATGACTCCGCGAACGATGGTACCAACGTCATCTACTCTGACAATGCGTTTGCGAGTGCGGGTATCATGGTCCTCCGGGAGATGGTCAAGGCCTGGTGGATCGAAGCTGTGCAGGCAGGCTCCGGCTTTAGCATGGCCGACGTCATGGTCCAGCATCTCGTCCGCTGGGTCAGCAGTCCAGGCTCGTTCCTTTACGATAGGTCGTTGCACTACTACGTGGAGATGATGTCGAAGAAGACATTGCAACAGCTCATGGCCGACTTCAAGCGCGTGGGTTCACACATTGTTTTCGCTAGCCCGAACCGCCTATTGCTCCAAACAACGAAAGCAGAGGTCGGAAATGCGTATGCTTACAGCCAGTATATCATCAAGACGATCAAGTCGAAGCCGCTGTTCCAGTTCATGGAGCTCGAGATCAAGGAGTACTGGGACTATCTGGTGTGGTACGATGAGTTCAACTACGGTGGAAAGGGATGTAAAGAGGTTGTGGAAGAGGAGAATCAAACCATTGAGAACATCATGTGTTGGCAGTTGGCGCAATTTTTGCCTGCAACACTTCAGCCAACTTTCAACGACTGGGTCATCGAGTTCATTGAACTCATGCATGCAAGGAAACGACCCACGGTGACAGATGGCTCGACGCCTCGTACTACACAAATCCCTCTTCGACCCCTTACCGTGGATCCAAACGAACAGACTCAGATTTTGCCGAAGACATTCACAAAGCCACTGTTCAAGCAGATTTCGACACTACTTCGACGTCAACATACAGAGATGCTACACCCTGAGCTTGCAGCAGACTACGAGTTTCCCCAACTCCCTGGCTCGCACCTCAAGCTTTCGAACCCAGTGCTGCAACTCGTCAAGTCAATCATGCAAGTACTCAGTCTCGACCGTGCAATATCACTTGAAGCACGAATGCTTCGGAAGGAACTTCTCAACCTCTTCGAGATTCGCGAATTCAGTTCGGAAGCAACATTTGTGAACCCCAGCGCTGTCTTAAGTGTTCGAGGTGTTATATGCGATGAGTGCACATGCTCCCGCGACCTCGATCTATGTCGCGATGCTGCCCTTCTCCCACCCGTCCTGCCAAACAACTCGGACACTGCACCTGCGCCGCCGAAGTGGAAGTGCGACAACTGCGACTCGACGTACGACAAGCTTCGCATCGAAGAGAAACTTGTGTCTGAAGTCCAGAAAGTGGTGCTAGAGTGGTGCACTCAGGATCTCAAATGCAACAAGTGCAAGCGCCTGCGAAGCAATGAGTTTATGGAGCATTGTGCGTGTGCAGGCGAGTGGGTGGGCACAAAGAGTCGGGGCGATGTGAAGAAGAAGCTCAACACGTATAATAACGTGGCTGGGTTTTACGGGCTCAAGATGCTTGAGTCTGTTGTGCAGGAATGTTTAGAAGGTGTTTGAACACGACATGAAATTGGTGATTATGAGCGGCGTTATTCCGCGGCGTTTTTGGTTCTCTCGGCGTTCATCACTCTTACGGCATTTCACGGCGTGAACGGCGTAAGATATCTGTGGGGTATTGTAGAGCGATGTGTACATACTCTCACACTTGAGTTTGTCTTTTCGTATATATTTCGCTCTTATTATGCATCATAGTAGTTTTATCCACCAAATGAGTCTATCAATTGATCTTATCTTGCCCATTGATGCGTTGCCGAGGAAAAAGAGGAACATACGTCATGTTGGGGAGCATATCAACCATAGTGGGGTAAGCTGTCGGGAAGTCGCAACCATAAGCAACAGCAATCACGCAATCCAGGCTAATTATCGCAACAGCCAGCGTTGAGCAAAGATGATACCATATGAGGACATCTTTGAGCTTGGGGTGGTAGGGGTACGCGAGACATATAAGGTTCTGTGGAACGAGACATTCGACGTTGCTTCTTAGGTTGTCGGTTGAACGCATCAAGCACTCCAAAGAATACAGTTTCTTATCTTGCAAGCCTCCGAAAAGCTAGTTGATCCTTCTCAAGCCTGATCAATTGGCTGCGCCACTCGGTATAATATCCAGACCTAATCGACATCATGGCTCCTGCTTTGACTTCCGCGGCGCCAACAGCGCCACATGAGCTTTCAAGCAAGATTGTGAACAACAACGCACCAAAGAACATTTTCCCAGACGGCATTAAGACTTCGGGTCAACATGAGCCGCTCTACGATCAGCTCCGACCGTATTCGGAATTCCCCAAAGAGATCACTGGTGTATGTTCATCCTTAGCCCAGCCACATCCGTATTTGATACTGATATTCTAAAGTCAACAGCATGGGACAGGGAGGAATACAAGAACAACCCCGAGCGCTGGACACACCCGTTCTCTGATGAAGAGATCAAGGAGATTAGCGATGCTGCAGACGCTTTTATCTCCAGCGGCACACCCTTGACCGGAATCACAAAGGAGAAGTTCCAACTCCCAAAATTCAGCAAGTTCCTCGAACCACTGCGGAAAGAATTGATCGATGGAAAGGGCTTTATTCTCTTTAAAGGCCTTCCAGTTACTAAATGGGGAAACCGAAAGAGTGCGGTTGCGTACATGGGTCTCGGAACGTATCTAGGATACTTCGTTTCGCAGAACTCGCGCGGACATGTACTAGGTCACGTTAAGGATCTTGGTGAAGATTCCACTCAGATCGATAAAGTGCGCATCTACCGCACGAATGCACGCCAGTTCTTCCACGCGGATGACTCCGATCTAGTTGGTCTGCTGTGCGTAGCCAAGGCACTGGAAGGCGGAGAGAGCGATCTAGTCAGCAGCCATTCCGTCTGGAACGACTTGCAAAAGAACAACCCAGATGTTGCCGAGCTTCTTACTCAGCCAATCTGGTACTTCGATCGTAAGGGCGAGACGAGCAAGGGTCAGAAGGAATGGATCAAGACAGCCGTGTTTTACCTCGAGACCGGTCCTAACCCGCGAGTATACTCAAAGTACGAAGTAACCTACCCCCTCATACAGGAAATACTTACTAACAATTCCCCAGGTGGGATCCATACTATGTCAAGTCGCTCACACGTTTCTCTGACGCCGGTCTCATCCCCGCCCTCTCCCTCGAGCAATCCCGCGCCGCGCAAATTCTCGAAGACACCTGTCTCAAGCTCGCACTACACATGATCCTCGACATTGGCGACATTCAGTTCCTGTCGAACAACCACGTGCTGCATGCCAGGACGGCATACAAGGACTACCCGCCGCCAGCGCCGCGCAGGCATCTGATGAGGTTGTGGTTGAGCACGCCGGAGGATGAGGGTGGTTGGAAATTGCCGTTCCATGATAGTAGGGAGAAGAAGAGGGGCGGCATTCAAGTTGACGATACGGCGCCAGTCGCGCCAGAAGATGCGGAGTAGGATGTGTATATATCGAATGACAACTACACAATCGAACGAGTAAAATGCTAGTCTCCACTGTGACTTCTGGACCGGTCTCGAATGTAATTTTTGGATTTGACGCTAGAAAGGCATCGTGATTCTTGTGTCGAACTGTCAGCAAGACTATCTCAAATCAATACTTGACATGCGTGAGCTAGTAGACTGTATCTTTGATCTAATCTTGCTGCTTCACCACCCAAGCAGAAATTTCCTGTCGTTCTTCAAAGTATCCGTACACTTGATGGGAATGCTGTTCTCGAAAGCGTTCCGCGGACAGCGATGTTGAAATCGACCCATCTGCAAGGCAACATCAAACTATATAACCGACATGCATCAGCTGAACCTGCATAGAACACGTGTTTGGGCGAATCTTCCAGCGCCATCGCCGCAATCATGCAGCTTCACCTTTTCTTTTCATCGTTCATCAAAGCATGGATCGGTCCATTCGAGCCCGAAACCTAAACATTTTCCCGCCACTGCTTTTTTCCGATAGTGCGCTTCCAGCGCTTCGATTGCATCCTTGAGATATGTGCAGAAAGTGGATTAGCGCAAAACTCTACCGCTTCGTTAAGGAAACACACTTCCAGCTCTCCCATGCCACGGCAGATGACAGACACGGGTTGCACACCACCGACATGCCTGTGCATCACGGCAACCAGTCATGCCCATGTGAAACAACTACCGGGATGCCGATGGGGGTCTGATCACGTGCTTCCCTGCCCCTCGAGCACGCCATCGTGATTGGGCTTCATCCCTGATATCACGTGACCAAACACACATCGGTATCCCAGCGGTCCTTGGGCTATACGAGCCCCCAGCGGCCTAAGCGGAACAGTGGGCAATGTTCACGGTTCAGCATCATAGCTCCCCTTTCGGACCGTTGAGACCTTGGTCCCAGCCAGCCGTTGAACGCAAACGCGAGGCTGGGTCAACAAAGCCCATGCGCTTTTGCTTCAAATAATGCATGCGCGCCCGGAGATTTTCGCTGCATTTGTCGAGTGGGGACAAATATCACAGGTATGGCGATGAGTAAGTCCGATCCGACTATGCAACTACGGTACAAAATACGAGAGAAGAAAATATGCTGATTGTATGAGTTAGCCCTGTCCATACCCAAGCCCATCCAGTCCGCGATAAAACGCGTAATCGCGCCGCGGAACTCCCTCACGCCGCGCATCAAAGCGGCACAGTGTCTGGCCCCCTCAGTTTCTCCGCGCTCATCAGCCCGTTCGGACGCTCCGACACCACAGGCTGCAAGTGTCCGAAAGACCGACAATGCTGCGCGTACGCCCAGCCGCGTTTCAAAGATCAATGCTCTACCGGTGGCATACAATTACACCGCTGTGCTTGTGATCATGGGTGTGTTTTGCGCGGCGTTCTCGACGCGAGGCCTAGCGATGCAAATTTCGGCGCAATTGGTATGTTCGACTTTCTTCCTTTTCCAATGCGGGAACTTTGACGAGATGCAGGCTGATGTGGAGATAGGTCGATGCGCTGATACGGATTACGCCGGGGTGCGGGCCGATGCGTGCGGTGAAGGATTTTGAGGCTCTGCGCGCGCGAAATTTCGTTGCAGACTTGCTTTCTGGGATGGACGGTGATTTTGACTTTATGCTGCTGGCCGACGTAGTCCTGTGTAGTGTTGGCACATTTGTGCTGTGTATGATGCTTTATGGCGGGTGCGTGGTGTTGTGCTGTGTGAATTTTGTGATTCTGCTTGTGCTTGGCGGATTGGTGCTTGCCAAAAGTGTTCGACACCATGGGGTGAACGTTTCCCTGGATTGGATCGGACGAGCTCCGTCGCACCCTCAGTCGGCGTTACTGCAGGGTAGTTGACGTTGAAAGCGTGGGGATGTGGAGACGAAGCAGTAAACGTACATGTAATGTGGCTGTTGATAGAGGCCTGATAGCCTTGGATTATATATGTATCAGAGGGCATTGAACCACTACTCTAATTGTGTGTACACGTGTGTAATGAAGACTCCAAAACTTCCGGTGCAAGGCCATGTTCCCAAAATAAACGTAAATGTCAAGATGGTATCTTTGTGTATCGTTAAACCATCCGCTCAACCACAACGCCTCGACGACTCCATGCATCGGTCTCGCCGTCTGTGCTGGCGCCCGCACTATGGCTCATGCTCCGTTCATGTTCGCCATCTATTTCGACCTCACGTGTCTGGACAGTGTGAACGTGGATGTTCCTCAGCTCGACCTCATCCTCCTTCCGCCCCTTGAGAGGCTCCTCGTCCCACTCACTACCCCGCCTGTACTTCGAGAAGGCTCCGGCCACCGGGGTGGCACTCTTGCACTCGGTGGTGATTACCGCGGGACGCTGAAGGGGGTTGGAGATTCCTTTCTCAGGCGACACCGTGCTGGTGGTCGACAGGCCATTCTTCTTATCCATTTCGCGATCGACGTCGCTGATGGAGACGCGACGAGAAATGTGGGATCGGAGTGTTCCGTTGCCGTAACCGTTGGGGTTGCCGCCGTTGCCGCCGGTCTTTCCAGCCGTGTATCCGTTGGAACGGGCCAACGAGTCTTCATCTTGACGCTCCTTGGAGGTGACCCAGTGTAGGACGGATGTGCAGAAAAGAATATCGGCGTTACAGCACGTGAAGCAGACCCATGCAGGCTCACCGTCGAGGACCATCAGTACGGTAAGGTTGACGACGGCGACAGTAAGCGTAGCTAAAGATCCGATAAAAGAGCGCCACGCCATACGCCTGATGCGGGGGTTGGAGTTGGTCTGGTAGGAGACGAGGCCACGGAGGGGAATAATGAAGAGCAATGTCAAGTAGATCTAGATATACGGGTCAGCAGGTAGGGTTGGAGGTGGCATCAAACAGAGTACTGACGTTGACAACGGCTTCAAAGATGATAAGAGGCATCATTGATACCTTCTGCATGCCAATGATACAGACACCTTTGTCATTGACGTATGAGATACGGCTGCAGAGTGTCAGTTCAGCCCCTGGGGTGAGATTGGCGCTCTTACAATATGAAGTTGATGACGCCGACAATCGTGTATGGAAGAAGCATGAAGCAGCAGTTGAAGAGCCATAGCTTGGTCTTGTGGCGAGGCTTTCTGCTGCCGCCGACAATGTACTGGCAACTGTTAGTCCACGCTTCGAGCACCAGCTTCGAGATTACGTACTGCTCGTTCGACCAAGAAGTAGTACGTCAAGATCTTGGTAGACATGTAGAGGAGAAGACCTGTCACTATGAGTAATGCTCTGTGCATATCGCATTGCACTACTCACAAAGGAAAATGCTAGCTTCGCAGACCATCTCGCCGGCGTTGACCCCGATGCCATGTAGGACAATGGAAGTTGCGAAGACGAACACAGCCGAGTCGACATATATGAGGATAATCACTATTACCCATCAGTATCGTTGCATAGAGGAATCACAGTAGTACAAGACTTACACCATTGTGCAATTGGAAGCTGCCTCCAATCGGCAACCCATTGTGTTCGTCGCGCTATGAATCCGTCAGTATCTCAATAGCCGGCTGAACAAGCGACGACATACTTATGCAGAATGCAAGTACACACATGGTAATCAGCTGCAGAATGGTGGCGCAGAGCCTACCACTCAGCGGCACGGCCGCATTCAACATGGAGCCGGGCGGGGATTCGTTGGCCATATTGTCGCTTGGGCCAGTCGTCAATTCGAACCAAACTCGTAATGTAGGTACAGTCCCAAATGAAAAGTTGGAGAGATCGGGATGCGGTAGGAGAGGCTGTACGACATGGCCTCATATTAAGGGCCTCTGGGCCTCGAGGGCTTCGAGAGCCCCTGCCTCCAGCTTCTACGCGACTCATGGCAACGTCTAGGTTTCATGCGTATCTCAAATCTAGCCCCCGGCCTGCAGTACCTGGCCAATCGGTATCTTTGGCAACACTAGTGGCGCTCGCTAAGAGTTGTAGTGCGCGGAGCAGCTCCAGGACATCTTGTTCGCTGGCTCAGGGATCCTGGGGAAGCGGTAGACCCTAACGGAGGGGAGCGATCACCCGTTGATCGGCTATGACTGTCGTCTTTTAGGTGACATGTGGGACTCTCGGTTGCCGTTGCTCGGTCAAATTGTTTTGAATTGAATTGTTGAGCCGCATGGGTTACCGGGGCCTCCTCGGTGCGTTCGTGCTCAAGTCTTTGCCCGCATGAACACGCAAAATTGGTACCGACTGCAGTTCGTCAACTCCCAATCTAGCACGAGGTCTGACTTCATCATCAGGTATGATTTGGATGGCGTGAGTTTATCCTCCGGTCTAAATGCTAATCCGGCAGCGCACAGACACAGCCGAAAGCTAATCTTGCTCTGTGTTGATCGAGAACAGCACCTTTGTGGCCTGGACTACCGCACTCGTAAGGTCAAGACCTGGTGCCCAACACTCTTAGAGGTACCTGGCGTTTGATTTAAACTTCAGGTACACCCAGTCCGCGGATCGAGTTGGTGATCGACGTATTGCGCAAAGCTGTTGACCCGCTATCCTTCCGACACCTACTGAGTAGATATCTGAAATAGGCCCATCTGTTCGACCAGACCCTGCCAGGCTGGGCACCTTTTGCTTTAGTACTGACATCGACCAAATCCCATACTGTCGTGCCGGCTTGTGGCGTCGCTGCAAACGGTAAGGCCTCATCTCAAACATCAGGTCCGAGGCCGCCTGCCTCCCGCACCACAGCATCATGACGCCTGAGGCGTTCAGAGACGCCCAATGGAACATTCCTAAAGCTTGGATGCTTCCGCCATACACTTATTGAGAGCTCATCGATGGCGTGGACTTCAGACCAAATATCAGGCCAGAACAAACATCAGTAATAGAACAAAAATTTGCCATTACGCCTGGCATTACGCCACAAAGACTCACGACTTGCGTCGCTTGCAGGAGTACATAAACGTTTAAGGTCTCGCGCTTGCCGAGTCGATTAGCTACACCATTTCGATCGTTATCGGCAGCTAGACGTGGGAGGCATCACAGCAGTTCCCTATCAGCACCCGATCGGGCTGACATACATCTAGCTGCGCACAACGTATCTACGCGTATCCTTGCCGAGAGGGTGCCTTCAACGCTCCGCTTGCGAATGTAAACTTTTGGTCTAAAGCCTTTTGTCGTTGCTTGTTTGTGATGCCAGTGCGGTCCGTTGTGGGTTGAGCAGCCATGAAAGAATCGAACTCGTCAACCTCGGCATCATCTTCAGGGATATCACTGTCGTCCTGTGCTTCTTTCTTCGCAGTTAAGTTTGGCGCAGGCTCCGTGCGGGTTATCCGCTCAGGAACCTTCTTCTCGTCTTCGTCGTCATCTTTCGGTCCAGGGTTTGAGAATGGCTTTGAAGCTAGCACACGTCTCCGTAGCTCAGCCATCTCTTCTTCGTCGTCTGAGGATTCAGGGATGTTGTACGGATTGCGAGGGTCAACTTTGCCTTCTTCGTCATCTTCATCTTCATCATCCTCATCGTCTTCGTCATTTTCGTCCGACTCATCGATGGGCATCCTGTTCATGTTGCCACCAGCCCAATCGTCTTCCTCGACGCCATCCTCCTTTTCTGCGCGAGACTCAGAATACTCGCGCTCGATCTTCTCAAGCCAGACTTCTTCAGCCTTCTTGACCTCCTCCTCATTCTCGCATGCCATGTATCGTTTCAACAGTGCACTATTGATATCCAGAAACGCCTCTCCATACGAAAAGGTTGACAGTATCGATTCGGCCCATTCCGGATGTCCGCAAATGTAGAAGCACGCTGCAAGCGCCTCGACGCAGTTTAGGCGCCAGGGCTTCCCGTAGTTGGTCTGGTTTGCAGCAACGAGGTAGGGCAGCAAGCGTTCGCACTTGCCACCGATGCGCCCAAATGGCACTTCATCGATCCGTTTCCAACTGGCTTCTACAACAGCCGCGCCGTATTGCTCGAGCAGTTCCTTGTCTTCTTTGCTGATGATCTTTTTTGCCTTTGGGCTGACGACTACGCCAGCAAATTTCTGCCCGACATGTAACTCTCTCATCATGCCCAAGCGCATAAGCCGTTTCCCAGAGCAGCGCTTTGCATCGCAATGTCCTAGATCCCAGCACGCTGCTTTGTACGCAGGCTTCGCAGGGCGAAGGTTCGCGCCATCTGCGCCATCTTCCTCTTCATCACCTGGGCGAGGGCGTGGCGGGCCGCGGGCTTTTGGTGGTTTGTTGGAATATTTGTTGTTCGCTTTGAAGTCTTTCTTATGGCGAACCATTTTGCTTGGAATCTGTCGTGCTTGGAAAGGTTGTTAAAGTCGTGTTGATGGAGGCGAAATGGAAAGTTTTGGTGGGGCAAAATTGATACATTTCACCATTATCGATAGCTAAAGCTAGTGCCACATGACGTCGACCCTCCTCCTCCTCACCTTGTGTGTATACGCCTCCACTTCAGGTATGTATGCTGCTTTTGATGCCTTGTCGCTACAAACTCATCACAATGCACTCCCGCAATGATCTAATTTAAATACTGGTGGTGTTATAATACACCAAGACTCGCAATTTCACCCATTTCGTTCTTCGGCTTTCCGCCGTGGGTATAAGACGCTTTCCACCTCATCTTGACTGTGCTACCAGACCCTTGTTGAACGTTGTTGACACGAATAGTTTGCGTGATACCATGCTTTTGATGAGGCGCAAGATTGACGCCAGACTGTGGTTGCAATTGCAATTGAGCGCCCTTCTTAAGTTAGCTCTTTTGTTTGGCTAAGTATCTATGTATGCTTACCTTGGACGCCGCAATTTGCAATGTCAAGTTCGCTATCGGTAGTGGCGTGTTGTTGGAAATCCGAGAGTTGATTAGTAAAGTGGTATCCGTCTCGCGTGAGACGTTGAAGAGCACATTGATAGTCGTGTTTGTCACTGTGATTTCCTTGCTAGTGTCAGGGACTGAAGAAGCAAAGGTCCACTCATCGTCATCATTTGCGGCGCTCGTACTGCTTTGCGCAAGGGCCGAGCTTGGTGCAGGAACAGCGCCGCCTAACAAATCCACAGTGGCTGAGGGTGCTGAGGGTGGCTTGACGGACTGCTGGTACTGGGAATGGAGACCCCTGGCGCGGAGTCGAGGTCAACGCAGCAAAGGGATCAGGTGAGCGTGCTGGGGGTACCGAAGACTGCGCGAGAGCTTGCGGCGGTGGTGATGAAATCTGAGGTGGAGTCGGATTATGCGTAGATGCGAATAGGTCATTGATTTGTTGAGCGGACGTCTTCTTTTGTTGAGATTGCGCTTGAGGAACAGGCATACCAGACAAACCGAGAACTAGATCAATAGTCAGTACAAGTGAGGAAAGTGCAACAATAGAACTGACCTGAGCCATTCGAGCCACCCAACGATATGCTACCGGACTGGCCATAACTGTCTCCGCCTAGTGACAGACCCAGAAGATCATCCTCTAGTGCATGTCCGGTAGATGCTGGCTGCTGTTGTTGACCGGCACCTGAAGGTTGGCTCGCCGCTGGTGCTGGTTCTGAATCTCCGAAATCAATGAGGTTCAAAGTATTGTTGGGCCCCTGTGACACTCCAGCTCCGCTGCGTCCAAGCGTACCCTGAGGTATCTGGTTGGCAGCTTCTATGTCGCCCTTCTTGAAGAGCTTGTATCTCTCTATGGTCCGGTGTATGCTGTCGTTTATCTCAAAGAGTTTTGCTACTGCCTCGTGATCCTCGGAGTCCTCTTCACACATTTTCTGAATTTTAGGCTGCGCGCTCTGAAGCGCGTTCGCAAGCTCCTACCAGTTGTCAGCTATTTGGCCTTGTGTCAAATGGGGGAACTCGCCGACCTCGAAGACGTCGCCCTCCTTTATCTGGTCGCCCTGCTTGTAACCCTGCAGCATCTCCTCGAGTATGCGTGCCTTCTGCTGGATTCGGCCAACTTCCTCTGCAGCTTTGGCGCGCCAGTCTGTCTTGTTCCTTGTGTCGTACCCCGCCATAACTTTCATGAGCTTGTTCGCTTCTTGTAGGTCCTTGGGGCCACCCCGGCGGATGAGTTCCTGCAGTTTTGCCGACTGCGCTTCTCGCTCCTCTTCCTCCATCTCTTCTGCCGAACGCAAGTTCTGCAAACTGTTAGTAGGGCAGAATACCGACCGGCGCCGAACGTAACGTACATCACTCGGATTCAGTACAGCTGCGTCTTCCTTCCGAACCTCGGGGAACATGTAGCCTTTGTAGCTCAGCAACCGATGCATGTCCCTTATGAAGCCCAAGTCGTCCTTGTAGCGCGACGTCTGGCATATCGTTTGGCGCCATTCTTCGATCAACTCGAGGATGCGCGTCTGCACGCGAGACGCATGCACCGGCGGGCGCTCTGGAAATCGGCGGACGAGCTCGTTGAGAAACTCCTTGGTGCTAATCTGGAGGTGGAAGGCATATCCGCAGTTTTTCACACAGATATCGAGAAGCTGTACCACGGTGAGCTATGCGTCCTTTGGAGCGAGGGCAGCGCAGCGTACATTGAGTGCGAGGAGGGCCACGTTCTGGTTTCGGTGGTTGACGTAGTTGACTATTGCCACTGCTGCTTCTCGCGGCCTGTGAATTGGTGAGCCATGTCAAATGGGGAGCGTGTCTTTGCTCGAGTCCTTACGCTGAGCCCTTCTTGCTGTTGATCAAGTCGGTAATTTCGAGATTCAAGGCCAGGTTTGGTTCGAAGTTCTGAGGATCGCATGCCTGCACTATTTCCACCCTTAATTAGCATCGCCATATGTCGAGGGTCACGGTGATCGTACATATGAAGCGCTGTAGCTGCGAAGTGGGTGCCTCGCCGAATGCGCCATAGCGCTCACGCGCTGCCATTCTTGCAGACGCGGCCTCCATCGCGCTGCTAGATAGAAGACGTTGCTATGACTTCTGGCTAAACCGAGGTGGCACTCCAAGCTACAAAGGTGTCACGAGTGAATGCGAGTGCGGCGCGTGTGGACAGGGTGTTTGGACTTGGTGGGGGCCGGCGAATGCGAGTCGGCATTGGACTTCTTTACAGCTTGGCGGCGCATCAGCCACAGCTACGTCAGCAATGCATATCGTTCAATGTAAGCTTCAACGGCCATGCATCGGCAACTCTCCTGCACTCGAGTTTCACAACTTCAATTTGCGTACTATTTGCCTGTTTTACAGTGTCTATCGACCACTACTTCTCCGTCTTAGATCTGCCAGTAGCCCTTGACCAGATAACCTGTGTAACCAGCAAGAGCCGCAAGCACAGCCTGGGTTCCGAAGTAGCCGACAGGCCTGCCAGCTCCGCTGGACTTTGCAGCCATCAGACCGAACTCAGCATGGCTGATGCGGAGGGCAAAGAGAGCTCCGAGTGCCGAGTTTATGAACGTCCTGAAGTACGATTAACAACACTAGTCTCGCTATCCTAACTGCATGAAGCTTACCTGTTAGCTCCATTGAGCTCAGCAAGCAATGCAACTGCGAGGACAAGAGGAACGTTCTCAGAGAAGTTGAGTTGCGCACGCGAGGCGACGTAGAGAGGATCGTCGTTGCCCTTGGTCGAGTCTGTCTTGTCGCCCATGTATCTGGAAAGGTGTTACACAAATCTTCATATGAAGTCTACATCGAAAGCCATGCATACGTTTCGGTGGTGAGTCGCTGGTACACAATGCGGTTCTGCAAGAAGATGTAGTAGGCCGCGAAGGGGACAGCCCACGTTGCAGTTGCGGGTGCGAAAAGAGGCATCGGAACGCCGAGACCGATCTTGGAAGCCATGTTATGTAGAGGTTCGCCGACAGGGGTGGAGAGGTAGTTGACCATAGATTGGATCGTGCAGAGTCAGTTAAATACTTGGGACGAGAGGCTTGGGTAGGGGTTTGAGCGACCGATGCGAAGTTAGACGTAGAAATATGGGGTCTAGTACGTCATCGCTGGGCCTGGTAGTTTAGCGCATGGTGGACAAGCTGTTGCACACTGCAACAATTGATTAGGCAGTAAGGGAGCTTTTGACAACGGTTGACACAATATGAGGCTGAGTAAAGAATACAAGTGTAGCAAGTTGCTGATGCTGACATGAACCTCAAACGCCACTTCTGTCGTCAAGTCAGAATATAGCTCTAGCGCGCAAAGACAATCAGGAATGCCATGAGCTCGCAGGCAACGCATCATAGATGGAAGTATGCTAGACGGTTTAGACTCACCAATGCAATTAGACTCCATTCTTTCGCGTAAAATAGTGATGATATATGTAGCCAGGACGATCATGTGAATTCACCGGTTCTGCACAGTTTCAGCTCCAGGAACTCCCTGCAATGACATTTAGAAATACTCACTGGCTTCATGTGTTCTGCATCATTCTCTCTGTTATCGTCTCGGACCTCCTTGAGCATCTTGTCTATGCCTCGTTCGCCCAAAGCTTTCTATCAATTGCATGAGTGGCAGCGCAGAGTCAAATGGCAGCCAAACTGACTGATAGGCACTTTTCGTATTGCTCAAATATGGGCTTGCACTCATCGTTTGTGGCAGCCCCCCTTAGAAATTCTGGAACTGTAAGTTGAGAGCATGTAAGCGGTCATGGACGGTCATACTTTCGCTGTACCATTTCAGGAAGCAGTTGTCGTAACGCCTGTTTATGGGTCAGCGAAACATCTAGATTCTTATCCCTTGTTCAGGCTCACTCCTTCACCTCGTTACATTCAGGTGCTAGGGACGCCGACATTGTCTCTGTTTATGTCTGCTTTCCGTGATTTGAAGGGGTGGGTGCGACCAGGGTTGGCAAGTCACAGGCGCAATTGCCTTGCAAGCTCTTATCGATAAGGCGCGTCCACTAGCGCCAAAGTTGACATTTCTTTCTTCATGCATCGCAACAAGCTATTCTTCAACCTTCACTCTCCTCCACGACCAACCCCAAATCAGAGCTCTCGACTTCACTCCGCCAGTCGTCAAGTGCCCCAAAATAATGCGCGGACGTTAATTTCGCCATGGACTCCTTCAAAACGCTCCAGGACGAGATCTCGAAAGCCTTAGTATCAACAACGCGCTCGGCTTCACACATTGGAGCTGCGGATATAGACTTCCAACGATCGCTGAACCCGCAAATCGGCACCCAGCTAGACGCCCAGAATGCGCGCCTCCTTCACCTCGCGCAGCGCCTTCTCGAGAATGCTGCAGCGAGCTCGGACGCTGTAGGTCCCAAGTTACCCGACGTCGAAGCCATAGACGCCAGTTGGAGGGGGGTTGTTGATGTCATCGACAGCTTGCTTGAGAAGGCGGATACCAGTCTCGACGAGTACACTGGAGTTGTGAAGCGCTTGAGTCCAGGTGCAGAGCAGGTACTGGACCCAGAAGGACGCAGGGAGAGGCGATTGTTGACATTTGCACAGACCGCTACAAAGGCGCGCCCCAACATCGCTGAGAAGAAGCACATTGCGAAACCCCAGCTTCTTTTCGAGCATGTGCCAGCCAACCACCAAACTGGCGGCTTCCGTCCCTTGATGAGCACGAAACCACACGCCCAGGTGCCCCTAGAGCAATGTTTGAAGACGTTCCAAGACAGCAGAGGCAGAGAACAGTATGCATACAAGACAAACAAGTCCACACACAGTAACTTACCCGCACAGATACCCGCATCCCTACGAGACTGAGATCAACTCCTACGACTACCCTCCATCCGTATACGAAATCTCCGAGCCAACGCCATACCAGCCTTTCGATTCCACCACTGCCACATACGTAGATACCCCGGAAGCCGTCGCTGAGATGCTGGCAGAGCTGAAGACGGCAAAGGAAATTGCTGTAGATTTGGAACATCACGACAACCGCTCTTACATCGGAATGGTGTCTTTAATGCAGATCAGCACGCGGGACAAGGACTGGATAGTTGACACACTCAAGCCATGGCGACGGAAGCTAGAGTGTCTGAACGAAGTCTTCGCGGATCCGAACATCCTCAAGGTCTTGCATGGAGCCTACATGGACATCATGTGGCTACAGCGGGATCTCGGCCTCTATATTGTTGGTCTGTTCGACACCCATCATGCCGCCCGGTCTTTGGGATATCCTGGAGGAAGTCTCGCATATTTGCTGGAGAGGCACGTACAGTTCAAGGCCCAGAAGCAGTATCAACTAGCAGATTGGCGCATACGGCCGCTTGGCAAAGAGCTCTTCGAATACGCTCGAGCTGATACCCACTTCCTGCTGTACATCTTCGACAACATGAGAAACGAACTCGTGGAGAGGTCCGACTTCTCAGACCCGGAGAAGAACAAAGTGCAGGATGTGCTCATTAAGTCGAAGGAAGTTGCCCTGCAGCGCTATGAGCACCCTGTCTACGATGCCAAACTAGGGCTGGGGTCTGCGGGTTGGCACAAGCTCATCATGCGGACACCTGTACAGTTTACCCCTCAGCAATTCTCAGTCTTCCGAGCAGTCCACCAGTGGCGAGACAGTCTCAGTCGAAAGGAGGACGAGAGTCCGCTGTTTATCATGCCAAATCACGCTGTGTTTTCTGTAGCACGAGCCATGCCTGTAGACAAGGCGGCGCTTTTCAACGCGATACAGCATGTCTCGCACATCATTCGAGGCAAGGCAGATGAGCTCGTTAGTGTCATTACAGAAGCCAAGGCAAGCGGAGTGACTGGACCAGAGCTGAATGATGTCCTCAAGACGATCGAGGACATGAAGGAAGCACGATATGCCCAATTTGAAACCCCAAAGAAGACCGCAGCGCCACCTGTTGCACCGAGCCCTCAGCAAGCTCCGTTGCTAGGCACTGTACCCATCGCGACTCCAGCGGTCCGTGCTCCTGCTTCCAAGTTCTGGGGCAAGCTCTGGACATCAACTCCGACTAGTCAGGAGCGGTCTTTATCGGCTCTGAGCGTGGACCTTGCATTGCCTTTACCGCCTCTTACGGCGGAAATCTTCGCCGACACCAATGAAGTCTCGACCACTCCTCAAGTCGAGAAGCCGAAACACACCTTCGTTCCCAAGGAAGACAGGCCACAGGAGGACGAGCGGTCGGATCTCTTCATTGTCAAACAATTGGGTGGTAAAAAGCGAAAGCGCACCGAAGCACTGGAAGAAGCTTCCCCCTCAAAACCAGCATTGGACCCCATGCACGACGACGAAATCATGATCGACCAGGAGGAATCTGAAGAAGATATGCGCGCCCGCGAAAAGGCAGCAAAGAAAGCTCTCAAAAAGCAGAAGAAGCGAGATCTTGCCGCCCAGGCCGCAAACCCCAATCCAGACGAGGCAGTATTTGATTATGCAAACGCACCTTCGATTCTCCACGCCAACGAGGAGAAAAAGAAGGGCAAGAAGGATAAGAAGGAAAAGAAGAAGAAGAATCCGCAGTTCGCACCCTTCTCGGGCATGACGGACGCACCCAAGAGTCTCCCGCGAGCTCAAAAGGAGAAGGCAGGACGCAGTCGGACTTTCCAGTCATGAGCGTGCTCATCCCCATTGGTGTCTTTCTAGAAGCGTGCGTGGACCATTCTTTGTACATATACCTGCATCACGATACCTCTTCCAAGCCTTTTAGGATCATCCACAAATTAATTCTTGAAAGCCCTGCGTCAAGCGGGAGCTAGTTCTGTACAACCTGCATCCACGTCTATCATGCATGCATAGTGACTTGCGTGACTCCATGAAATCCCCCAGGTTAAAACTCTTCAGCCCACCATTTACTCAGCCACCGCACAGGCTCCGTCCACACAAATCCAAATCCTTGCTCCGCGATCCAATTTTCGGTGAGTTTCTCCGTAATACCTACGTCGGAGGCGGGACACACAACCGCGCTTGGTGGTAGGCCCGAGGGCGAGGGCTTGTGGGTGGTCACGTCGACGAAAGATAGGTGGCCGATTTCGTGGGAGAGGTAGGGGGCTGGCACGATATATGTTGTGCCGTGGCGAGGGGGTGATTGGGCGGGATAGTGGTTCTTGAAGTGTGGTAGGTGGCGGGGGTTGTGAACGTGCTTCGGTGTATGCTGGAGACGGTGGAGGTGGAAGGGGAGAGTAAGTAGATATTGGCTTGCAAGTACCTGTCTCAGGTGGTGCGGTTGTATTGATCGGAGTCGTGAAAGAAGCCTCAGTCTCAGGTATACTCCCCATATCATCGCTTCCACATGTAGGCGTGGAGAAATTGCGATGTTTTGCGTGTGCTGTGCTGGTATGGTGTGAAGGTAATTGGAAAGACGGCCTCTTGCGTTCCACCTTTGGGTATCTCATCCTGAGGTACCCTAGAAAAGCCATAGGAAGATCGAGACTGTTCTGTGGGTGCATTATCAGGGTCCAGATGCTCTGTGAATGTAGTGCTTGATTGTACAGGGCCGACTCTGCAGGAAGGTAATGCGGCCTTTCTCAGCGCATGAAGTTTGTATCCTATGAAGTTTGTATTCTATGAAGTTTGTATTCTATGAAGTTTGTATTCTATGAAGTTTGTATTCTATGAAGTTTGTATTCTACAGAAGGCGATACTTGTGTCTTTACCAGTTGATGGTTTGAGGCCACCATAAGACCATTAGCCTCATCATACACCATAGTGCACTGCTCGACCAATTAAGGTAGAGTGCCGGACACTGTTTGGATGACAGTGGATCCTGTGGTCTTGATTCTCTCCTCGAGACTCATCTGTACCAATCGTAGAGCCTTTTGCCGATTAGAATGCCCCCTGGTCACGTCCCCAAGTACGACAGCTACTTGTCACCAGGCTCTATTCCTGGCTTATATTTTCGATCATTCAGCATCGAACATAGCGTGGTGTCAAGCAGTCCGAGAAAAAGAAGACGTCAAGATGGTTGTGGTGAAGGTGAGACGCACATCTCACACTAAATTAGCCTCTCTCTCGGAACCATTCCGAGTGATCGGAACGGAGTAGAGGAAGTCATCATTGTTCGGTACGCAATTGAGTCATCTTGTTCCTTCTCGTCGAAGAAAGCGCCATCTGCATCCTCAAATCCGTTCTCGGCCACTCTTTCTTTCCATCCCTTCAACACGAAATCAGAGCCAACAAACCATCACAACCCCAACACGACCAGATTCGCCACGTAAAGGCACCGACCGAGTACGCCTTACGAGCTCTTGTCAAAATGGACGCCGGATGGGAAGAACTTGAGCGTATGGCGATGGCTGCATCCGCCGATGACGCGCAAGTCGCAAACCAATACCCCTCACCAGACACCATCGAGCGCTGGAAGCGACTCTTTGGCTACTCTCACATGGAAGCCGTCCGTCTAATCGGAGAACAACGAGGAGATGGTAAGTGCAGCGCATTCGAGTCCCTCATTGTGTTTGCCGCATATTGAACACCACACAGTCACGCGCGAGCGCATCACAGACGATCACTGGGCCCTCATCAAGGACGAGAAAGAAGCACTTGGGTACGATCGCGAAGCATACGAACATAGTCTGCAGCTTCCCAAGGTCTTTAAGAGTCAGAGCGCCACTATCCCTACGACTGGAGCTAATGGCGAGATGATGTCGTTGTTCCGCCTGGGTGGCTTGCTCGAGTCGGCAGAGAAGGTCAAGGAAATCGCCGGTCTTGACAAGATGCCAGAGGTCAGGGAGGGTTCGAATGAGATCGGCATGGTGAAATTCTGTGTAGTAGATATGGAGGCCCAGAAGAAGTTGGAGGAGTGGTTGGCGCAGCGGGCAGTGCTTCAAGGTTGACTGCGTACGGCTCAGACTATTGATATAGGGTATTCTACGAATGCATTTGACCTTCCTCACATGAGCTCGGTGGACAGTAGACTAATGACGGATTAAAATTTCCTCTAAACAATGTATCAATCTATCAAAATCAGACTAAACGTCAACGCTATGCTATGCTATGCTATGCTATGCTATGCTATGCTAATAAACATTATCCAAACCAAATCATATCGCTAAGCACAAATCCTAGTATTATCGCTGCCACCACGACTCATCCTCGCTTACAATGGCATGTTGGGCTGAATCCAGCCGTTCTGGCTCTTAAGAAGGTCCTCGCTGGGCTGCTTGGTAACCGCATTCTTGCTGTTAAGCTTGTAGTTCGCAAGAGTCTTGTCGCCGTCGAAGTTCTGGTTGATGACACCACTCATCTACACGCGGAGTCAGCACTTGTCTCACAAGCAGTCAAAGTTCGGAATTTACGTACGCCTTTCTGACAATGGTCACCAGCGGTTTGCGAGCAGTAGTACCAGAACGGATCCTTGGACGAGACTTGGAAGGTAAAGACGTCCTTTGATTCACCCGCCATGGTCGCGAAGTTGAAGCCCGAGAAGACGGCTTTGTCGTTTGCTAGGGGCTCGCAGGGCTTGTCAAAGGACGATTGCACGACCGTGTGGTTCTTGGGGAGGAAGTGGAATTCAACGAGGTCGCCGATCTCGGCAACGACATTCTCTGGTTCGACTACAAGATGATGTTAGTGGTTGTCTCCTATGTGAACAATAGGCTGGTGTTACTTACAGTGAAGGCCACCGTTGGCGGTAGTGGAGCCGGCGAAGATCCGGTGGATGACTCCGGTGGAGCGGACCTGGTTGGCTGGTGCTGCGGCGGTGAAGCCCAGCAGAGTGGTGGCTGCAAGAGCGATGGATGTGAAAGCGACCATATTGACTGATTAAACGGATGGAGTGAGATATGGAAGGAATTGTTCTATCAAAAACTAATGAGAGAAGAGACAGAATATGGATGTGAGACGATGAAGGAAGCGATTGATGATGTTCTGATAATGAATACATTTGATCGAGATACATACCGCTCTTATATGAAGCATGCTTTCTAATTGTGTGAATCAGCAATAGTTATTTTGTCGTACATCCGTCGGATCCAACACGTGCCGTCTGGGTGTAAGCCACCACATCCGCTATGCCTGCGCAGCCGCACAGCCCCAGACTTCCGTGATCTGAATTAGCCACATATTTTGTCAGACGACAGATGAGAATATCCATCAGCACAGGCCGCTCGAAGAGATAATTCCCCTCATCTCAGGTGATTTCACCGGGTTGCGCGGTTGCTGATGAAGAAGCAGACGGAAATAGTGTACAATGATTAGAAGTCTGCCAAGGGTTGGGGCGCGGTCTTGGAGATGAGGCCTCACGAACAAGCAGCGCGTGTAAACTTAGGCGATTTCTTAAGCTTGTTTGTCAGCTTTTACAGTGCTGATGCTGATGCTGTTGCATGTCTAGCTGAACTTTGCACCACGTCCATTGTGAGAGGTGTTGTGTTAGGAAGGCCTGGCATGGCTGGCCGCAGCATCTGGGCACCATCAAAGTAGGAAAGACGCGTGGTTAACACATCGGGATATTGCGATGCCGGCCATCTTCTAGGTCGAAGGGATTGCAATGTTTACACGAACGTTGGTGCGTTGTCTGGGATTGACAACTGGGGGCTAAATTTAGCTCGCTCGGGCGGTTACGTGCCGAAGCATCTAATTCGAACGCGACCCTCATCAAGGACCGTCACGACACCCAAAATTGCTTTGCGTTTCGTCTCTGATGTTGAAAGGTGTATTTTGAGTGAAGCCGAGAAGTAGGGGAACTGCGGAGGAAGATCTTGGCGAACAGGAAAGGGGCGATTTTGGCAAGGCGCACCAGTACCGGTACATGTAACCTTTCCTAACTCCCATAACATTAATTTGATGGTAGCATCAGCACCTTGCCATACAATACACTGTCTTTCCTTGTACCCATCACCGACTAAAATCAGAATGGGCTACTCGATGAATTCGTTGTGGCTTACATGTAGGTATAGAGTCATGTCCACAGACCAAGATAAGTCCTCCTGCTCTGGTGCAGCAACCGTGCCTACTATACGCCATGTGGGTAGCTTCGTTCTAGAACTGCGTAAACACGCATTCAACGATCTACATGCACGTCCACCCGACTAGATCTCCCGATGTCCCTCCTGCTGCTCCTCCTCTTCAATTTCGAGCTCCTTAGATTGTCCTCGAGTGTACGGACTCGATCTTTAAGACCTCTAATGATTTCCTCCTTGCATACAATCAGTGTTACATGATCCTTTTCTTTCTGCGCAAGAAGAGCTTGGAGACTGTTGAAGCTGGAGAGTAGAGGGCGATTGGTCATCATGCTGAGTGACAACTCCTTTAGGAAAGTCTTTGGGCAGCTCTTCGTCGTGGAACCCGGAAAGGGTCGTCGATAGAGTTGTCTGTGAACAGCTTCACGGTGAGGTCACGAAGTGGGCCCCCCTTGGGAGTTCCGTCGTAAATAATCTGGGCGCACGGCGACCCCTGAGGTGAACCCTGTTCCATCTGCATCTCGCTCCTCGGACTTAGCTCGAACAGCTGCGAGCAGAAAATCTTTCGTCTGGTCATCCATGAGCATTTCCGCAAGGACGTAGACCTTGCAGAGCTGGTCGTACTCGTCGCTGGGTCCGATAGGTTCTTTGGTATAAAGAAGATCAGTCTGCAACTCTACCATTAGCGTCAATCGTTTCTTGCACACATTGCAACTTACGTATAGTAGCTCGAGATACAGTGCGAAGATATCGGGCTCTGCCTCCGACAGTGTGACCTTGTGCTCCTCTGCTTCCTTCCAGGGCTCCTTCATCGCGTTTTTGAAGAACTCGCTGCGGGCGCAAATAAGACGTTTGTGGACGAAGAACTCCCTTGGTAGCTCAGCTTCACCGACGATTACGCGGATGATTGGAGTGGTGACATAGCTGCCTAGTCAGTAGGGTACGCGTAAACATGGTGGACAAGGACGTACCTGGCCGCACTTGAGCGCGGAACTCGCACGTCTTTCGTAGTTGAGGTCATGGCCGGGGGAATGAGTTGGGCAGGCCAAGATCGGGAGGAACTTATATGGCAAAGTCTAATGTGATTGATATAGCTTGTTAGGGCCGTGCTTATATGAGCTCATAGCTTTCACTTCTAGTCTACAACTCATAAGGAGAAACATCCAGAATACATCTAGTAGTCGCAAACCGAATTCCTAGACTTGTGTTGCAAGGGTTAACATCGAATGCTGTAGTAGATGGAAATCAGAATATTCTTCTTCCACGAGGTCGATACAAATTTTGCCCAGACTCGAATTACGGTGTCACCTAGTGTCGGTATTTGTGTCTTGCGTCATGAATTCTCGGAATTTTCATTTCTTCAGGCCATTGCGAAATCGACAACGCACCCAGCTCAAACAGCCTGCCTTTTCCTCCCTCCACCCCTCCGCCAATTCCACAGCGCTTCCTGTGCGAATGTCCGTGCCGTTAAATGCCCCTTCGTCCTATTCGCCTCCTCGGTCATCGTCTCAATAACGCGCCCCTCCTCAATACAAGACCATAGCCCGCTCGCCATCGCACTCCCGACATCCGCCTCATCATCTTCATCCTCATCACTTTCCTCGACCCCCGGGTCCTTCGCAACCTGCACCGGCTGATCGATATCCTGCCTGCCTTTCTCGACCCCATACTCGCCCTGTCCGAGCCGGTATAATATGCGCCCGAGCGTCTGATACGCCATACATCTCTGCGCCGGTACAGCGCTGCGACTCAGCACGGCGAGCTCGGGAATCGTGTACCCCGCGGCCTCGGGCGCGTCGGCGTGGTGGTGTAGACCGCGGTCGGAGGGTATGCTTCGAGCGATACTGGGCGCGAGGAGCGTGCCTTTGAAGTCGAAGCGCAGCTCTGTTGCGTTAAGGGCGGTTTGAGAGGGGTGGTATGGCGAGGATGTGTCGGACGGGTCGATGGGGGCCATCCAAGAGAGGGCGCTGGGGTCGTAGGCGAGGTTCGGGAAGTATTTCTCGTGCAGGTTTTTGAGGAAGGAGGGGTCATTGGGGTCGAGGTCGGGAGGTTGGCGGGGCGTGGGGAAGTGTATCGAGTCTTGGGTGGACGAGGTGGTGGGTTGTGAAGTGGATGTTGAGGTGGTGGAGGATGCGGTTGCGGCTGACGCTGGAGCGACGTCTTCCTTGTCTTCTGATGCTGCGAAAGACACCTTCTTTGCGTTTGGCGCCTTCGTCTTAGGCTCTGCGGCGTTAGTTGTAGAAGATGGAGCGGGTTCCACTGGGAAGAGATCGCGCTCGTTGCTCCCTTCCTCTATATTTGACCGTGCCATGAGCTTCTGAATCAGCGCAGGACTAAGACTCGACATGAGTTCCTGCCGCTCCTGCTCAATCTCTGCGGCTGACATGTCTGCGAGTCGTTTGTTGTTCTCCTCGTCTATTGACTTCTTTTCGTTGCTCAAGTCAAACCCCACATTGCGTGTCTTGGGCGCATCTTGTGAAGTGCTATTTGCGGCTGTTGCTGCTTGCTGTTCCTTTGCCGCGCGCTGTTGCTTGAAAGCAGAAACTCTAGGTGTGCGTTTCTTATGCGCTGGAAAGCCATTTACATTTGCTTTGAGCGAAGGTGCGACTGGTGCGTTAGCTGGAGCCGACTCGCGCTCGAGTATGTCGCCCACGAATGTAGGGAATGTGGGTTGCGCCGACTGGTAATCGTCCTCAGACTCCAGCTTTTCTACTGCGCCAGTGTCGAAATTGAGATTCACGCGCTCTCCTCGCTGAAACTCCATGTTGATACGAGATTTATGTGTGGTGGTGAGGGCAAAGTCAAGCTTCAAGCTTTGGTCCCTCAATTCTACATGCAGGGTCCACGCTAACTTAGCGCGGTGATGTCAACCCACGTTCCTCCCCAATCTAAAGGTCCTACAACCCTCGACAATCCGTCTGTATACCAGTCAACAGAAAGTCCCCATCAGCTCTTGCAGAGCTGTTCTAAGATAGTGTTAACTTCATAGCACTTGTGTCAACCGATCAGACAGTTGCCAATGCCCGGCCTTGGATCTGCTACCTCCCATATGAGGCTCATCACCAAATTATGATTTCACTATGTCATGTCAACTGAAGATCATACTTCCAAGATGAAAGTCTTACTAGGCGCGTTTGTTTGTTCAGTCCTGATTGCAGACTCCCATGTCTCATGAAAAGACGTCCTTACGGAGCAACCCCACGGCAAGTACAAGTGATCCACCCCCCTTCAGTTGTTCACTCCAAGATATCAAGGGTGTACCGTTTCAACCGCAAGGAGATCGTTACCCACGACCTCAAATTGTTCTCTCACAACTGCCATTCCTTACCCCGCATGCCCCACATGTGCGGATCGAATACAAGTAGCCTCATGCCGCTCCACAGCTAGTATTATAAGAGCTCATCGCTAGCTAGATGTGCTGCAAGCAAGATCACAGTGACTTTTGTGATGGCTTCACCCAACCCAAACCAGCCCGCGGGCCCATACACAGTTGGCGAACACATCATCCCACCCCCACGACCAGCATCACCAGGAACATCAGAATTTCGGCTGAATCATTTGATGGTCAGAATTAAAGACCCAAAAAAGGCGTTACGTTTCTACTGCGACTGCATGGGCTTGCATGTAGTTTTCATCTTCAACGCCGGACCCTGGACTATCTACTACCTAGGTCCCAGGGACGTCGGTGCGTATTAGAACGCTTGAAATTCTCCATATTATCTTACCGACTCGATAACAGGAATCGCAACAATCGGGACATCAAAAGGCTTACTCGAACTCTACCACGTCCCCGCAGACTCAGACACGCCATATACTTCCGGCAATGACTACTCCCAGCCAGGCGTTGGCTTCGGCCACATCGGCTTCACGGTCCCAGACGTAGCCGTCGCGCTGGAGCGAGTGAAGAGCTTCGGATATGAGGTCATTAAGCCGTTGGACGAAGCGAAGGAAGAGCAAATGGGCATGCCGGATAGTGTTGTGCAAGGGAAATCTGGGGCAGTGGATGAGGGGTACAAACGTGTTTTTAGGCAATTGGCGTTTGTTAAGGACCCTGATGTAAGTCGATGCGTTGGCTTCGTGTGTCGGAGATTGGGACTAACGGTGGCGTAGGGGTATTGGGTGGAGCTGGTTCCGCAGGTCGTGAAATGAGAGCAGCGGGTGCGAAGGTAATCGATGGAACTTGGAACTGAGCAGGTGACGTGCGCAGACCATACGTGTTATTCAGCAATATTCAACCGATCTACGAAAGCTGCATTCCAATGCACATTTCAATTTGCTCGCCAAATTTCCCCTTGATGTCAAAACCTCCGTCAAGCTTTGCTGGATACTATATCTAAGATCAATCGTCTTAAGCCCGGCCCTAGCGATGACACATCTTCTCAGTTTGATCGCCTCGACCTTTTGAAGGTACTGTCGCGTAGCAACAGATCATGGGAGCGACATATGGAAACAAAACCTTACCGTTCCGTTGTTCTCTCTGTCTTCTATGACTGAGCATTCTCACCGTGCCTCATACCAATTGGTTCATGAAATTGGTAGAGCAAACAAGATGGCTCAGGTCTCAGCCATGTCTCGCTTGACATGTATAAGATGTCTTACTACTGCTAGGTCAGAACAGCGTCTTCGGGATATTTAACTCGGACGCTCGCTCTATTTCTTGTTCTTCAGCTTTTCAGCACTACGCAATACAAATTCACACACAGAAACTCCAAGCGATGACGGAAAACTCCAAGATCGTCGGTGGCACAGACAGCAATCTCAGGTAACGCTTCAATCTATGAAAGTTCTATTGTATACCGACAACGACAGCTATCTAAAAAGCTGACCAGTTGAAGTAATCGTCGGGCAGTATAAGCCGGAGACAGCACAATTCTTCTTCACCCATACGGATCTCCTCAAGTCCAAATTGACCTTCTTCAAGATTTTCCTCCCGAACACCGCCCAAGCAACTGAAAACGAAGCTGGAGAGTTCGACGGTTACTCCACATACAACACCAGCCTCTATTCGCGGCAGGAGAAAGCCAGCCTCACCCCTGTCTTTGAGTTCTTGACAGAGGACGTCGATGCTTTCGAAAACTAAATCCAGCCCCTCTACAAAGGCGCGCTGCCGATCCAGGACTTTCCGGCAAAACCCAAGGCAAATGACGACAGCCTGTCTGTGTGGAAAGAGGTTTTGTGCGACTGAGTCCACCACACCTTTAGCGCGCTCTACAAGCTCTACGCCCTATGTACCCACATCGGCGACAACCCTTCAGAGCACGTCTTGCTCGCCGCATTCCTCTCAATGGCGTCTACACTGCGCTCCAACGGCTCAGTCTACCGCCCCGACAAGTTCGCTATCATGGACGCCTACGACAACACAACGGCACCGGACCCGCTGAGGATGTTCTCGGTGGACTGTTATGTGTACGATGGGACGTCGGCGTGGGTGTACGAGGCGGGAGAGAATTCCAGACATCCTCATGCTTTTTTGGCGGATTTCATGAGTGTTATGCTTGAGCGAAGGGCTACGCCGGATTATGCTAGTAGACTCGCGGATGCTAAGTACTATCAGGATAAGTTGAGTGCGTTGGAGGATGGGGAGGAGAAGAAGTAGGCTGGAGGAGGTGAGGGTTCGCAAAGTGCAAGAGGCTTTTGTTTGATGGCACAGCTTGGGACTTAGATTGAGATGACGCGCAGTTCGCCGATAGATTTTATTCACGCTTATAGAATTCTCAAGTCCACTTCCTCATTACATCCAAATTCAATTTGGTCGTGTAATACAGGGCCGATCTGCTCTCCCCGGACTCTCCTTAGCACTTGATTCATCTTTAGACCATGTCTACCTTGCCATCCACAATCCTCCCTCCTCTTCAGGAAGTGTCTTTAAGCTCTTTCTCTAGCATGCGAAACTCCTCCTTCAACTCCTTCACATCGCTGCACCGTTTCGAGCTATCGAAATCAATGAGAGTCGCTTGTCCGTCGCGGATGAGGATGTTGTGCTTATTGATGTCTCCATGCTTGATTCCCAGGCCATGTAGTCTCGACAATGCCTGCTGACACAAAGTGAGATCTTCCGGCGTGGCATGTCTGAAACCCGTGATTCGTTCCATGAGGAAGCCAATGACTCTGCCCTCCTCAGTCAAGTGTCCCACAAATTTTGGGGCGATTCCAAGGTCATCAATCCATTCATTTGCAGTTGTCTCGGCCTCGGTTTTCGATATCTCCCAATCGAATCGTGCGAATTTTGCTACAATTGGCGCGTTGAATCGAGAGTACGTGGCTTCGTAGACGTTTGAGCAAAGTTTTTTCCCTATTCCAAGGTCCAGGTGATCTACCCGGAGCGGATGCCATAGATTCGTTACTCCGGGGAGCTGTGCCTTCGTGACATTGGCGAAATGAGGACGCCCAGTTGAAGTGTCTCGTGATATACGGCCTTGGTTCCAGTCACCAGGCGGTAGAGGTGGTAACATAGAGATCAAGACTGGCGCGAGACACATGACGTCAACATGGTATAGTCCAGGGTCGATGGTGAGGTATTTGACAAACTTTCGATCGACGAGAATGCGAAATTCACTTGGTTGATGCTCTAGGTCCACACTCATCTGGAGTACCTGTATGTCTGCGATGTTGCTGGACATTTGATCCACGAGAAAATTAATTGAGTACAGAACTTTCGGGTGAATGCGATTGCTAGAATTTTCTGATGGGATAGCTACTGTGAAATAAGTTTGAGATTAGTCCTTTGCTGTAAAACGCCGAGGATTCAATGGAGGTATACATAATCAGTAAGATCGAAGTCGCGTGCGCTGGAGTTTCCTTGAGAGGGTCGCTTACGCTGAGGTACAAAGTAGATGAGAGTGAGTGTCGCAGACAAGATAAAGTAAGAGAGAAAGAAAAGAAGGCGGAGAAGAGCAAGCGCGGGTGGGGCCCATACCCACCGCTAATTGAGGATCTGCTTACAGAGTAGACCAGTGAAGACATCGCTGTGGGTGTTCTGTGATGCTATTTATTTGACAGGGCGCCAGTGAGAGTTCAATGTTTGGTGCTATTCGCCTGAGCCTTGCATTCTAATGACAATTGACCTACGTTTTATCTGTGTTGGTTCTTGAACTGCAAACACTTTTCGTCACGAATCGAGTTATCTACAGCATTAAAATGGTTGTCATGATGACCGACACCAGTACTACAACCTTGGCTTTAGCTTCTAGTCTCGCAGAAGAGCCGTCGCTTTTCATTCCTTCCTTGCCGGCCATGCCTTCAAACATTCTCGCTAAACCGGAGCTTGCGAACCCGCCTTCAGGCTCTCTCATTGTTGCTCCACCAGTTGCACTGTGCACATGTCAGCACATCTCCATTCGCAATCAATGAGACTCTGAAGACTTACGAACCACCAATCCACTCCCATACAGCTTTTGGTACTCTGAAGTCATAATCTTCCCGGAGAAATTCTGTCAGCCACTTCAAATTGGTCATGTCATATATTGCTACAATCGTCGGGTCTCGATTTGCTTTAGTCCAATCGTTCCCACCAAGAATGAGCATCTGCTTTTTGCCCACCAGGTGGCATGTAGAGCCATAATTACGACGAGCACCTGCAAAGACCTGTGTCCAAAGAAATTGTGGGAGTGAGAGAACCCATACATCATCGTAGCCCTCCGTTGGAGAGCGACCAGAAGACATGTATCTGCCGCGATGTCAGAAAGTGGTGAGAAAGAATGAGAGGAGGCTTACATGTGATAGGATGTGTTATCTGGGGATGGTATGTGGATTGCGCATGTAGAGATACGGGACAGAGGCGTTCGGCCAGTGGTCCGTTGGTGATACCATATACCATTGGGTGTGTCGTCTAGCGAGGCGATGTCAAAGACGTGAATCATGTCCAGCGGTTCCTATATCTTCCATCTAAGTTTTGTCACAATCTCAAATTGAGGAATTCCTACCATGGTACCCCAGCGATCGATAGTAATGTTGTCCGTGTATCTTGTTGCGCCTCCAAACAAGATTAGTCCGCCTTTTCGGCCTAATAAAGGCATGTACTGAAATACAGCCCCAACTCGAGCTGAAGAAGGCGCGATGATTTCTGTACTCACAATACGTTTAGCATTCGTCCGCGTGTTGAGGACCATCATCTTTGGATATGCACGCTCGCTCGATCCGTTGCTCAATATGCCATTCAGATAGAACACTAGGTCTTGCTCAGGGGCCTGAGTGTAAAGTGTGTGCATCGGTGCATATCTTGACTCTGGTACCCTCGCACTACCTGGTGACCATGAGCTGTTGTTCCTCCAGAAAGTCCATGAACTGTTTTGGATTGGCATGGCTATCATAGGTTGTTCTCTAGATGCGTTGAACATAGCTAGGCCGCCCCCATCGATGTGGAAATTACCATCGGTATCACATGTTAAGCTGCTATACATGAGAAATGGTGGAGGTGCGTATGATGCATTGAGGGAACTGATAGCCGCGATGGATGGGTCGTTTTCCATGTAGTACCAGGATTTTGATAGATCAAGCTTCAACAATGAGCTGTCTTCGTGTTGATTTAGTGTTGTATTGTCTCTTTCTAATGCAATTCATCAAGACGTACCGTACCACTGGACGCTATCATTATGCTGAAAATTCCTGATTCCGCCAAAAACATAGACATTATCTCCCTTCATAGTTGCTTTCGACATGTCAATACGCATCAGTGCAAATCTGGGCGCCAATACTGACTTGAATGACCTGAGCGTTTGTCAAAGTACTCTATTGGCACGGACAAGTTTTGGGAGAACACTCTAGATAATACTAAGCTCACAAGGTAAGCTCTGGACTGCAACTGTATCTTCATGGCTGAAAGCACAGTCAGTGATGGGGGATAAGGTAAGATGGAGTGATCGTAACAAGTTATGTGAAGAGTTGGAACGTTTTGCATAGGTCTTACCCATATGCACTTTCACAGCCTTTCTCACTGTGAGCTTGCAAGATGATGAAGAGCTCGCTTAACCCGGAACAATGTGGCGAGGAAAGCCAACGATTATACGTTGAACGCTCGTACCAAGATCTTAGCCTACCATCTATCCATCGATGCAATGTTCGCACAGTTGATCCTCCCAAAGATCTCGATCTTCGTGAAGAGTCTACAAGTCAGCCTTGGTGAAAATGTGCCCTTTTCAATCTGCAGTCAGCATCTAGCCGGGTACTTATCAGACTAGGGTGTAGATCATAGCCAGCATGAACTTTGTAGATCCATGCCGCAATTGTTCCAGAAGATCTGTGGCGGCTACGATACGAAAAAAGAAGTAACCGCAACAAGAAAGAGGTTTCCAGCTCGCTTAACACTGCTACTCTAGTATTGTGAGACGCGACCAGCGGTGCATGCACACCATCATGTACAACCTAGGCGAGGTTGAAGGCTGGGCTTACACTTTGCCTTCTCGGAATCTATTGTAGCTGACCATTGTACTGTATACTACACCAACTGAAGCATCGATCGACAAGACATTGATGGTAGCTCGTAAGCGGGACATGAAGGACGAAACGTCACAAGATCCCTTGAACTGGGAGTGAAGTATCAAGAACTACGCCGCCGTAATCAAATTCGCGATAACCCAAAAGGCCCGCCAGGCTCCAGCGCTTTGGCCGAACGCTCACTTGACCTTTTAAATCAATGAAAAGTCTGTGTACCAGTAACAGCCCCAAACCCACATGACAAGCCTGAGCATTCTACTCGGAGTGGTAAGGAAATGGAGGGGTAGCTCTCAAATACTTCCCAAAGCTCTGATGTCTTACTGGGTGGAGGCCATAGGTTTCATCAGCCCTCAGCAAGACAGCGCTACCTTCGACCCTTTTCCACGAGCTGATACAGTACTTCTCTCACTTCTCAGCCTTGCCATTTTCTTAGTCGCGGCTGTGTTTGCTCTTGTGTTCTCAACTGCTTCTGTCAAGCAATTTATCATTGCTCTTAACGCTACCCTTGCCGCTGTACTGGGCACTACTTTCATCTTCGATATCATTACAAGTACGTACACCAACAACTGTAAGACAAGTATTCACATGACCAGTTTTGCACAGGAAACCATCGCGTATGGAGGAGGAATTTCATGAATACCGTTCTCACGATTCTTTTGACGATAGTTGTTCTCACAGCACTGTATGCTCAGATCTGGCACAAAGGCCTCAACGATGTTGTGATCAGGCAGGAAACAGATACCATTGTATGTACAAACTCTGAGAATTTGCACAGCTCTAATTGTTTAGAGTCATCCGCGATTCCCCGCTGTCGCCTTCTTTCAACGACAGGATGGTTTACAAGCCAACATCTATACCGCCGAATTGAAATGCTCTTCCGGTCCGAGACTAGATCATGCTGTTCAGTGCAGCAGTCTAACTGTTCCGGAAGCCGTGAAAACAGCTTCCTGCGACTGTGGAGACAGCTGGCCTGGATTGGAAAGATTGAACCAGGGGGCTAACAAGCTGATGTGGATTGGGGAAAACACATCATACTCTGCGATGGTACCCAGTCCAACCACTATCTCCAGAGGAGCTGGGCATTTTATAGAGATGCAAATTTGGTTCAACTGTAAGCGCACTATCCATGGGTTATGGTGGGCCTTATGTCTAAACCATACTCACCTCGGCAGATAACACGACCGAAGCGTGGGAACTTGCGACGGTTACTACAGCGCCAGGAATCTGGATGGCAATATATGATCCGTCCTACGACATCAAGCAGATGGTCACGGATGGTCAGCTTTACACTGCCCAAATTGATGCCAATAGTCACACCGTTGTGAACATCGGGTTGGTGCATTATAGGTACCTTAACAAAACTGCCAACTACCGATATCGTAAGTTCGAAAGCCTACAATCATCGTTCATATACGACGGCTCACAAATCATTTTAGAAGTGTCAGCCTCGGCTCGTCAGAACCTTGACCTCGTTTGCGATGTTACGAAAGATGGATGGTATCTGTGTCATCTCACTGTTGAGATGCAAATCCCAAGTCTTCTGCGAATGATTGTTCAAGAGGAGAACAGACTGGATTGGACGGTAAGTTCTTTGTTTTTCTCACCCAATTTATTCTCGAGAGTAAGTTTTGTTATCTAACCTGCTATCAATACAGAGAGTCGTAGCGGATGCCGGAGCATACTTTGCACTCATCCAGTTCTTTTGCTGGATAGTTTCTGGCATGGCTTGGTCGTAAGGATAGCACCACGGTCCCGAAACCTGCTCAGTGGAAAGACCAAGGAAAGTAATGCTCAAGATACGTGACATGACTTGGGTCTTCATGACTACCGTGCATCATGCGCCACGCTAGCTCTAGATGCCCTCCTTTGACGCAAGACATATGTGCATATAGGATAGACGACAACATACAAATCTAACAAGGCCGACACGTCTTCATACCTCCTTTTCCGCGCCTGAAGTGATAACTTGCCTCACAACCCTTGCTCCGCATGAAATTTGGCGAGTCTCACGTCCGCACCTACACCCTATTCTTCTACGCGCCAGCACATAACCATCCCATGAGGCCCGCTTTGCATCACCAAAAGCTCATACATAAAAACTCGCTCATCTAAACAGCGATTCGACCAAAACCCCCCATGTCTAGTCCTCCTAAGCAGCGTAGCACTGACCAACCAACGTATCCTGGAAACATCTGCATAAACTTCGTCGACATCGCTAGATACCATGAAAACTCTCCCCCAAGATATATGCCTTTCCAGATCATTTGGCGTGCGATCCTGAGCAATTTCGCTTTCATGAAAGACGACTTAAAAGAGTCGAAGACATACTTGGTGGAGCGATAAATCAGATATGCAATGTCGTTAAGATGTAAAACAACCTGGCAAAGCCCGTCAGCACTATGAACCCTTCGCTTCATGAAGCTATCTTATGAATCGCTCAATCACAACTAAACCCCCACAAAGCAAACCTCATGAAAATTTCAAAGCTCTTCTTGCCACAGCTCAGCTCCCTCTCCACCAACCACCCCATCCTTCCCCCTCTCAACCCACCCATCCCTCACCAACCTCGCCACATTCTTCCCACTCAACGCACTCGTCTCCATCGTACTAATAAAGCTCTCAATTCCACTGGTATACCACAACCCCTCATCCAGCACAATCTCCTCAAACGTAACGGCGCGGATACTCTCTTCGGATAGCTATTCCAAATCTTGTGGTAAATCCAAGCTAACCGTGCCGTTCACATCGGGCTTCTTGGTCGACCTTGTGGCCGAGGAATGTGGGAGAGTAGCTCGGGCGTGACGCGCGCGGGCGAGAAGATCTTGTAGATGTATTCGGGACGTGGGGGTGTGGCGTGTGCGTTTATGAACGTATTGTGGATTGAGATGCTGTAGAAGCCGGGGGAGCCTGCGTTGTCTTGGGGTGGCTCGGTTGGGGGGAGGGTGGTGAGGACGTATTGTGGGACGGAAGCGTCGGGGGCCATGTTAAAGACTGTCGGATCTAAGCGGTAGGGCGAGGCGAAGAGCGTTGTGTAGAGTTTTGTGTAGGGGATTTCATCGGGCGTGTGCTTTGGTGCAGGATCGATAGTGAGGTCGGTGTATTGGAGAGGTGCCGCGAGGATGATCTCGTCGAATGTCGAGATTTGGCCGTCCTTCAGGGTGAGCTGGTAGGTGCTGTCTTTCTGCTTTGAGATCTTGGACACTGTGATGTTGAGATGCAGGTCCGCCATGGAAGCATTTCAGCATACTGGCGAAGATCTGCCAGTTACCACCTTCAACTTGCATCGCACCATTCGTGGCCATACAGACCATGGCCTCCAGTCCATGAATGAACGCCAGGTTCGAAGCGTAGTTGACGCGAGTACTCGCCTGAATAATTTCTCTTCCAAATGCCTCTCCAATACCATTCGCCTTGAGATACTGCTCACCAGTCACGCCTGTAGCCTCCAGCAATCCCACCTTCTCCACACACCTCACTCAGACTCTTCCACGGAAACACAGGCTCATCATACATAGTCAAGAACTTGCCCACAGCACTCTTCATCAGCCGATTCGTCCACAGCGGCGCGGTGCCATATCTCCACAGCAGCTTCGCTTTATCCCACCACCCGTCCTCCTGCCGTGTGATCAAGACAAATTCCTGCCCATTCCACACGCCAAGATCCGGCATGTCCAGCGTCCTAGCAAGATCTTGCGATGCGGGAGATAGATGGAAGCGCTCCATAGCTTCCATCATGATGTGGTTTACTTCGACGAAGATGGAGCCGCCGAGCTCGACGGGAAAGCTGGGATTATTCCATACGTTGACAGTGGTGGTGCGGCCACCGATGTATGAGTTGCGCTCGAAGACGGTGATGTTTGTCGGTATGGAAGATTCGGGCGGCGTATTTGGAGAGGTGGTAAGCTGCTGATGAGCCACCGGCGCCAGCGCCTGTAATCCTTTAACTAGAGTCTCTCATGGTAATTCTTGAAGTCAGCGTACCGATAATCGCGACGCGCTTTGCAGCGGGAGCCTGTTCCGTGATGCTCAGAGCATCCGTGAGGGGCAACAGCGCGGTAAGATGTAGTAGGCGCACCATCTTGATTCTAGGGATGCTGCAAGGTTACAGGTATATCAGGGCAAGTATTCCAGAGTAAAGGAAGATAGTGGAAGCGTTGCGCTTCAAGTGTCAAGGCTCATGTTGTAACGCAGGTGCCGGAATGCGGAGGGGAGCTGACGACAACCTTCCATGGCGCCAGGACCACTATTGTATGCCACCGTCCTAGGGCATACTGTCAATAAGATAAACGTCGGCCTATTGAGACGTCTTGCCCCTCAGTGCTAATAACGCTTCAATCAAGATGTTCTACTGACAAAGGTTGAGAACCATAGTGAATACGTCGCGCTCATGCATTGGCGCAATGACGCGTTGTCACGTGCGTCTGGCTGTCCGCCTCTTTATCCGGCAAGTTGAAGTCGTCATGTTCAAGCATACAATTAAATAATGCATATAGCTCTTAAACAGACATGAAATCGCTTGGTATATAGTGTTGTACATGTGCTCGCCTTCCAATCTATTCTTTGAGGCCCATTCCAATTGTAGCGCATCCTCACTCTCCTTCCCTTTGCCTGCTCCTCTTTACCCTTCCGATTACTCTCTTTTGCAGCGGCCTTCTTCTCTAGCATCTTCTGGAAACGCCCAGTTCGCTTGCTGTTGCGTACGACCCCGGAATCCTTCTGGGTGGCACTTTTGACACGAGAAATCGTCAGCGGGACAATTGCTGGAGCTTCGGGATCAACGTCGAAGTTGTATTCCTGCTTCAGATACAGCGCAATGGCTTGGCTCAACTCTTCCGGCCCTTTGCCATGAAGGGCTTTGAGTTCCTTCGCTACAAGTGTGTTGAGAACGTGCCCGCCGTTCAGAGGCTGCTTGTCTGACGACGAGGGCACGTCGAGGACGGCCTCCCATGATAGGCCCATGGCTGCAAGCTTGTCTCGGGTTGACCATGACATTGCTCGCATGGGTTCTTTCTGCACAAAGCTCTTCACCCGTGTCTCGAAGTCTTCCCAGCCGATTGTAGCATCAAACCATGGCTTTAGCATCTCCTCGACACGGCTGGCATTCTCACGGATACTGTGCGATGTTGTGTAGATGTGTTGGAGCTTGCCGAAGAAGAACTCGGCATCGAAGCCAGTGATGCATGGATGGATGCCCAGTAATCGTAAAGTTTCATGGGAGTCGTTATGTACACGTTTCCGAAAGGTGGTTGGGTTATCGACCTGCATGTGCCGAATTACACGGCTGATAATGACGCGAGTCTCTTCTTTTGAGACTTCGCCAGCGATGTCGATCTTGGAAGGCCCAAACAGCTCTGGTGAAGCAGCAGCATATACGGACGAGCCCGAGACTTTCTGAAGTAGGTGGACACTTGTCTGTGTTCCCCGATAGCCTCCATGGCTTGGGCAAGCCGGGTGACTACCGCTTTCTCATGACCTAGAGCCGCCAAATGCTCAACAAGGCGAACTTCTACTTGCTCAAGATATTGCAGATTGTAATCCCTCCGATTCAAGCTGGTGTGTTGTACTCTTGGAATGAATGGTACTAAAAGTCCATGCGCACGAAGGGGCTTTGCTAGGTCGCTCGGGAGAAGGTCTATACTTCCTGTGCTAACACTGAGGTGTTGGAGGAAGATCCGGAAGTTTTGACCAAGGTAATCAGAATTCGTTGCAACAAGGTTCTTCGCGCGCTCGACGATCTTGCTCCGGTCGGACGGGGTAAGTCGGCCATAGAAATCGCTCAAGACGGAGGATTCTTGTAAACTAGCAGAGAGATTCGACGGCATGCCTGCTTCGCGTCTGCATTGATCAATCAACTGCTCCAGATTGATGCCCCACGTGCCAGGGCTCATGGGTAGCATAGCTTCCAGGTCGCGAATGGCCTCCTTGCCAGATTCAAGCAGCCTGGGCTTGGCTTTGATCACGGATTTCGTTTGTTCCAGGTAGTTACGTCGCTCTTCTTCGCCGCTGGAAATAGTCGATGATCCCAAACGGACCAGGTACTCTGTATGTCTGCGGCCTGATCATTGGGTATGGTGATCAGGGTGCCATCAGGACGTATATACGAGCCGTCGACGTAAAGAATTGTACGGCTTCCTGGGGCCCTATTCTCCATGCTATCGACTTTAGCGACGACAATGACATGATCCGCCACGGAGAATTCTTGAGTCAAGGTGCACTCCATTGCAGCGCGTACAGAATCGCTCGAAATTTGCGGCGCCTTGGACGGCGTTTCCAGATATTTGATTGCAGAGCTAAAGCCGGGCACCAACAGCCTTAGTTTCTTGATCCGCATGTTGTAAGCATCAGGATGGTTCCCACGGGTGAAGAGGTCCACCATAGCCGCACCGCCACGATTGCCAGCTGGGAAATGAATACGAAATCGGCCCTCAGCAGCCCTTATCGCATCCAAAGTTTTCGATGGTTCTTTTACGTTGAAAGAAATGAGTGGTGGGTCAAGAGTGACAGTACTCAGTGACGACACAGCAACGCCCATTGGCACGTTCATCTTCAGGCTCGGAAATCGTAGCCTGTGGACTGTTAATGAACCGCGACCGAGCTCCGGGACGTTTCGCATCAGTTGGCGGACCATTTTGTTGAAGTCTTTCGGGCCTCAACATCTGCCTCGTCAACCTCGGATCGGATATCTCTTCCATTATGGTCGCCAAGCCCCGAGTCTGTGTCCGGCCTCTTCTGGCCCGTAGTTTCGTTTTCCAGCATCTTGTACAATTGCGGATTGGGTTTCAGTGTCGCTCGTCTGCGGTTGCAGTTGGTCTTGCTGGCATAGTAGCTGAGTCGCGTGGTATTTATGGTTCAGAATGCCCGGTGGGAAGCTTGTTGACGGGGTCGGTAATGTGGAGGTGATGAAGCGCAGAGGGGCGACCGTTCTTAGCAGAGTCAATTTTGTTCATGTTCGGCTTGTAGGGGCTTCTCACGCGTATAGCGACTCCATCTGTAGAAAGCCGCAAAAAAGCGGGACGCCGGGCGCTGCGCGAGCGTCATAGGCAAAAATGCGAAGTGTTTCTATATTGACATCGACTCGGTAAATCTACCTGGTTGGATTGTATAACTATGCTCGCAAGTACTGTTTACAGCGGATAGTGTTGCTTTGCGCATGGAATGGCGATCAGAAAGTTAGCTCAGCCAAGACTTGCATCGATCTCGGAGGTCCGCAACTTTCTCGATCTCGACCTCATAACCACGACAGCAGCGCATCCACAATGGCCTCACCAATACCCTCAATTGGCGCCCTCCGCGCCCTACGCCAATCGATACAGCCTCAAGTGCGGCAAACGACCCAAGTCCGACATGCGACACTCATCAAGCGACCGAAACGCCCCTACACCTTCACACAGCTCATCACTTTATCCGATGGCAGCTCCTTCACACTGCGCACGACGAACCCGCAACCCGTATACAAGAGCGCGAAAGATATAAGGAACGCGCCGTTGTGGAACCCCAGTTCACAAAAGCTGTTGAACGTGGAGGAGGACGAGGCAGGAAGATTGGCGGCTTTCCGCGCGAAGTTTGGTAGAGGTTGGGATACAGATGCGGAGAAGGTGTGTATATCGCGTGCATGGGTCTAGAATTTCACTGACAGGGTGTGTAGGGCAAGAAGCAAGGTGATCACCTTATGGACCTGATTAGCGGACAGGGCACAGGTCCAACGAAGCCGACGCCAGCAGCCAAAGGACCTATTGTGAAGCCACCGAAGATAGAAGGAGGAAAGGAAAAGGGTGATAAATAGACGTGACATTAGGTGGTAAGGCATAGGGTTTACACTGTACAACACATGACGGCCATCGAGAATGGTCCTTCACCAACATGACGAAGAAATAAACTGTCCTCCAACTTCTACAAACTGTTCTCCCTTTTAGTTTCACTCCATTTCCTTTATCCTTTCTCATCTTTCAACTCCACTTCACTTCTATTGAAGCGGAACATCATCGCGCTTTTGACGGCGTCGTTTGATGTGGCGGAGGGGTTTGGGACGGGGCGTG